AATCTTTAATTTAAGGTAGTAGTGATAATGATATCGCTTGCGATACAATTGAATCAATTTACACTAGCCAATTCAGTTAAAGATGTCAACAATTTATGCTATCGAGATAGAATAATATTACTAGAATAGTACATCCTGAGCGATTTCATTATACTAGACTAATTAATAGCTTTATCAAATGTGACCTTGACTTGATAAAATCAAATATTTTAACTCACTGTTTTCATCCTTGCAATTATATTGTTGCCCGCGTTTTCATTATACTTTCAACAGCTATCTAACTAGTAAGCTGACTGCAATTATAAAAATCTTAATTAAATAATATTATCCTAAATAACTTGATGCTACTATCTAGAAACCTTTGACTAAATTAATAATCGTTTTATTACTCATCGATGAATTACGAGTAGTTTCCTGTTCTTGATTGTTGGTTGTCAACGATTTAAACGGAAATTAGGTACTGTAGTAATAGTAGCGGTTGTTTCGATACTTTTCTATTATATTATTATGTAGGCAACTAATTCACTTTTATTATAATGTATTATTAAAGCTGAAAAATAAGATACTGAATTCTAAAATACTAGTTTTATAAATCATTAGTAGTTACCCTAACAATTTATTTTCGAAAGTTCTAATGCAAAGATAATCGTTTTTATTTTATCACTCATCAACTAGCAAATATATAATTACCGGTAGTATTTTTATATTATGAATATAGCTATTTAATTATCATGAAATAGCTAATAACATCATCGTTTCGAATTTCTACCCCTCATATTCGTTTAGAACTAGAAGAATTTATTTATAATGAATCAGAAATGGTCCACTTTCTGATGCCTTTAGGTAGTTTAAGCGTAGAGCCTTATGTACCATAAATACTGCACAATCTCCATGGAGTAATGTAATAAATTACTTCAGACTCCTACGCTATTCACATGAAAGAAATTATTTAAGGCCTGGTTCTAATACATAACGTTACAAATTAGGCTTATACATGACTAACTAAGAGGGTGAGTGGGTTGAGATAAATCCGATTGATGAATCATTATTTCGATTGAAACCTTTCTAGCCTTAATACTTTCAGTGAGATATTATGCTAATTTCCATCGTCCTATTACAGTAAAGCTAAGTAGCAAACATTTTTGAATTCTTACTATAGTCGATGAAAAGATTGCATCATTTTTGTCGTGTAAAGTCAATAATGGAATTATGGACAATTGAACGAGGTAATAATATATTAAACGCGTGCACAACAATGAATTCAGTTTTCTTATCAAATAAATAATATTCCATTATAGCGATAAAAATAACTGATCGGCAAGTATTACTGATTTATACTGCATAAATGCCTCTATTCAAACATATGCTTGCGATGACTACTGTCAGCCGCCCTCGCTGTTTGAAAATTACATCATGCTGTATTTACAGAAGATGTTGTAGTAGGGTAAAGTCCGATCGGTGTAGAACAGTTTCCTATTGAGCAACAAGACTAATTAATCAGTGATATTAGGTCTTTAAAGTATTGACTTTAAGTCCTACTTAGATCGACGACGATATGAAATAACAATGAAATCAGATGTCTTGATCTATCCAATACTGTAGATTGTTTCATTCCTAGCCGGTGATCATGTATAACCCAATTTTGAATTATAACTAGATAATGTAATCCAAAATATTCTAGATATTTTACTTCGTTTATCAGCTGTACTAACTGGTTATTATATCAAAAATTAACTTATTTTTACGTTTGTACATATTTTAATTGATTATTTCTAGCTCGTACGTACATAAACCAGTGCTAAGACATAGCTGGATTATTTATCGCAGCTTTTTCGAGCCATTTTGCATCACCTGTTCACTTTACTAATCAGCTATCACATCGAGAATTGAAGCTATATTTTTCCTAGTCGTATATTTCGTCCCTAGTTTCTTCGAAATTAATATAATTTAAAGAAATGGAACGAAGAGGATACAACTATTGTGACGCCATTTTCAATGAATATTTTCATAATAGGTATCATCACTAAGATAAAAATTAATAATTTAATAAATAAAATTATTGCCAAGACGTGCACGTTACATTGTCTATTGATGAAGTAGCCCAAGGCAGCAATACGCTTGGTTAATATTTTAAAAGTATTCCGTTTGTATTATTTAAGATTTGCCTTAGGGTATTGTCTATTGTTAGAGCAGAGCAATCAAATTTACCGATTTATTTCCTAGGCTGTAAGATAAACTTTATTTTTTACCTAATGTTACTTTTACTGGAATAAAACTATGAGCTTATAAATAGGCCCTTTTATTAATAATATACCTAATAACAATATACTCCAACAGAAGTATTTACTAATTAAAATGCATAAGTATTTCCAGTCTGTTCTCTTTTAATTCTAATTAGTATCTATATAAAATGCTGTATCATAGAAAGGTTTCTAATGCTGGGCCCATGATATTTAATTAATTAATTCTTTACTGGAAAATTAATTGTAGAAATTTTCAATTATGATGCTCCTTTTTGGTGCTTCTATAGTACTCTAATTTTGTATAGAATATGTTTTAATACAAGACTTTATTGCTACATCTATAATATTTAATTAAGTAATTTCTTATTAGAAAGTAAAATTATTATTTTTTTATCAATTATCAAAGTAAAATTATCATATTGGCATCCCAATTGGGTTGTTCATATTGCAGATTCAATTAAGATCTATTTTCATACTGATTGCCATATTGCGAAAGACTATTTTACCAGTTTTGCGATATCTAGCTGATTTAATTTTTTTGCTAGATAATAAATCATAGAAATGTCCATTAAGATATTTACTTTTGTGAATTCAGTTGTTACTTACTCCATATTTAATGCTGTAGTACTATAGAATTTTACTAGATGCTTAAGTAATCAATTTTGCTTGAAGTGGACTATGGAAATATTCAATTGGAGATGCCCATTTTCATTGTTTTGATGCAGTCATAACCGACTTTTGAACTACAGCAAACAGTCTTTACAGGAGAAGAATGAACATGAATTTTAAAGACAAGTAACAATATCCATTTAATAACGGAGAAAGACGACAGAGCATTATTGTGACTGTAGAATTAAATTCGAAGTCTGATTTTGCAACAACTACATTTTATGGCAAAAATGATTCTTAAAGTTTTAGGGGGTATTTTCAAATTATCATACACCTCTAAGATAGTACATATTTATCTATTATAATAGTTGACAAATATGTAGAAGCAATACAAGAATTAGTAGATTTAAGTATAAGATATATAGTACAGTATCATTATTGCATGTGAAGTTAACATTCTGTAGCTGTAATCAATACTATGTTAGCATATGTAATAGTACATAAACTGGGGGTAAATTGCAACTTATACAACGGACTAATAGAAGTATAATATTGTAGTTAGATTATAACTATTTTACTCAGCTCTTGGACAAAATTAAGAAATATGTTATTCTCAATCGATTGCGTCTTGTATCATTTTTCAATTTGGTTAATATAAAATGATCTTTCTTTTATTAATAACAGGATCTAGAATTGATCCCATTTCTGTGGCGATAATATCGACATCTTTAGAAGTAGCTGATTAGTTAACATTGCGGTTGCTGTGCAACCCAAGCTCGACGATGCATTGCTGCACAGTAAAACATTACATGCATACATTTGTTAATAAGTATCCTTCTTTCTATTATTGAGAGTTCTGGTAAAGATTCTGAAAAAGCATGCAGAATCACTATTCTATAAATTATTTTCTTTGCTGTAGTGCAAAGGAGTTGATTCTCATTTATTGTATGGTTAGTATTGCTTTGTAATCGTCTACTAGGAGAAGATGGCTTCCAGATTCAAAATGGTTAAAGGTACGAACTAAAACGTTACAGTAACAGTTTTTATGTAGCAGAAATGTATAGAAAGACCAACTAATAAACCTTTTATGTTTCTGTCCAATTACTTAAATAAATAATTAGTCACTGAAAACATTAATGCCGTATGATTATTTACATATTTCAGATATTCCACGCCTATTAGATAGCTGATTACAGACCACAAGAGCTGTCATTTGCTCCTGACGTAATATCTTTCACGCGGTAATTGAATTAGTAAAGAGCTGGAAGCCAAGTTTGCTATTGTAGAAAGCAGCGATTGTCCTTTAGAATAACTTTATACCTTTAATAAATATCGCCCTTGTTGTCATCGTACAATTACCTACTACGGATACATTACTGATTATATGCACAAGTGAGGCATATTAATAAGGGGTTTATAGTATGATTGTTATTGTAGGCGAATGTAAGCAAATACAAGGATATCAATAAGCTAATATTTTTTACTATTAGACAAGAATAGTAATACAAACCGCCCTCCAATAGGAAGCTATCACGCTTAAAAAAATACTTGATGGATTGTTACATCTCTAAATAAAAGCTGATAGTATCATCTTGTGATTATATCAGCGGCCTCGCTCAGATTGTTTAAGATAATGTAAATTGCTATACAAAGTGATGATTACATGCTAATTTTATTGCAGTATTTGACGATGATATACCTTAAACTATTGTAATTGAATTCAGAGAGCGAATAATCTTACTATGATAGGTAGATTGTAGATGAGTACAGCCATGCCGTAACCTTGATGTGCTAATCAGTTGGAATTCAACAGTATCGTACAGAAATAATGTATATTGGATAGGGCCAAATATTTTTGTCTGCTTCATGGAATATTTTCCAGTTTGAGCTGACGATTTACTAGCAAGAAGCGATGATGTTCATGTGCGAGTAGCTTGTATTGCATCTTGCAGATTGGATGATCTATGAGATAGTACTAATATCGTCGCTACGACATTGCAAGTGATTTGGTCTAAAACTTTGATATTGCACCCTGTCATTTCTTTCACATGTGTTCGAATCTTCAGCTGTATTATATATATGTTACGTCTACGCTACGGTGGTAAAAGTTAAGATTATTAGTTTATTACACTTGGTTTGTTTTAGTTCATGTCAATTTGCGGTCAAAGATCGCTAAGTATAGATATTTGTTTGCAAGTAAATATTTAAAATGGATGTATCATCCTCAGTAAACTTACCGCAGCTCTGTCGTACACAATAATACAAGTATATACAATGTAGAACTAGTTCGGACTATCGGACTGTAGCGTTTGCCGTTAACTGCACAGAATAGCTTTGGAGTGAGAGTATTGGAATAAAATCAAAGCGACTATTTATAACAAGAAAAAATGTTTACCTATTTTGTATACTTGTACATGAGGATGCTAGCAGATGTTTGCGTTTTTATATTTTCGTATCCTAGACAATTCTACTCTACAGTACAATGATAAAAATAACAGCTTAAATTGCGCCATTTTTAGGGAGCTTATTTTCTAGCATAGAATTTTTCTAGTCTAATAGGAATTGATGTTGTCAAGAGTTATTACTTTATTCTTCTATCTACCATTATGGATTTGTCGATTTTGTGCATGACTTACTATAGGATAGATAATCTATACGCGTCCTTTCAACAATGTACGAAGCGCATATTTCAGAGTAATTTCCATCTGCATATTTTCTACACTATACCTGGCTAATGTAGCATAGACTTCATTCTATGCAAATCACGATTGCACTGAGTCATACAGTCTACATTTGGGCGATGAGGACAAATTATAATTATTGGAGAGAATATGGCAAGGTTAGCCCAATCATGATCCATTCTTTTATACAGTTTGATAGTATTTGACAACAATAATAAATAGATCATAACATAATTTACAAGTCAAATCAGATAATAAAGTTTGCTATCTCTGGGATGACCCATTTGGGTGGGGGAAGAAAAATACAATCCTATCCAAAATTAGTGATGAAGTTTAACCACCATTAGATCCGAATTATTCGCCGTCATGAAAGGATGGATTAATACATAACATAAGGAGAATTTTATGTGTCATGAATACCTCATGTGCTGTAATTTTCGGTTATTGCTACGGTATTATGAATGGCTGATTGACTAGCATGGTATGAAATGGTATAACTGACAGTTTAGTCAGTCAATAGGTCACAGAAGGGGGTTTGACTATGTTGATCTCGCGAAGCGTTGAACAATAATTATCTGCCACTCGTATACGATTTTGATGTGTATAGCATGGCAGATAGACTACTTTCATTGTCAAGTTGTTACATGACGATGGAGATAATTTGATATAGCATGATGATAGAATCAACTTGTCTATTTCAAGACGGTGCCACCGCCTATTGAACATCAATCGTTTTTCATAGACAATACAGTCCATTTGTATTGCAAGTCTGCTGGACTGTAGTGTACTTTCTTCATCTTATTACAGTATTTGTCCAGTCATGCTAAGTTGCATTAACAAGTTCTTCTTCATGCTTGCTAGATAAACATAGACAGTGTAATAGTCGTTGAAAGATCAAGGTATACGGATCCATTTTTCAACATTGGCAGCGTAATATGGTAGGTATTATGGAGTATTCTCCACGTTGGTAGTTTATGTAGTCTTTTGATTTTTTAGGGGCGGTGGAGTCGTTGTGATACAGTCAGTACATTACTTGTACAAGAGTGCAGTCACTGAGCACTGAGTAGGTCTTTTGTTCACCATCTACTGTATACGAGGGATGTTTACAGTATACACGATGTGTCCACCTATTATGGTGGATTGGATAACAGAGTCGTTATCCAATAGGATCGCTTATCATTTGGAGCAATTGAAGCTAAAAGTTGGATTCTATCGTAGGCTAAAATAGGATAGTACTATTACTCCTTTCTAAGAATTGTTTTATTGAAGGCCATCCATTATCCTAATATTCATCGATTGAGCGGAAAGGCTTTTTTGGGTTTTCTGGTAGTCTAGTAGTCAGGCGTGCAAGATGAATGCACAGAGTACAGTATAGTGTCCATTGTACTCGGTACAGTACAGTATAATAATTCTGAGGTGCAGCGTTTTCCCAAAGCTGTGTTTTGGTCATACAGTACAGTACTGTCGATTCCAGTGCGTAGTACTGTAGAGAAGGACTCTAAGTGATTGTCATGTGTGTCACGTGTGCAAGATTGGACTGTACTCTGTTTGCATGGTACAGTATTGGACGTGGGCGTCAGCGGCGGATAAATTGTTGTCCTGTCCAAGTGTACAACTGAACAATTTACATGTTGCAGTGTTCTGAGCCTTTTTGACTGTACAGTACAGTCCAAAACTGTTAGCTTACTCGAGTAAGCTAACAGTGTACATGTTGCAGTGTTTTGAGCCTTTTTGAGTGTACACAGTACAGTCCAAAACTGTTAGCTTACTCGAGTAAGCTAACAGTGTACATGTTGCAGTGTTTTGAGCCTTTTTGAGTGTACACAGTACAGTCCAAAACTGTTAGCTTACTCTAGTAAGCGTAGCGATGTACAGTACATGTTGCAGTGTTTTGAGCCTTTTTGACTGAACACTACTGTACAGTCCAAAACTGTTAGCTTACTCTAGTAAGATAACAATGTCCAGTACTGTACAGTACAGTGTACAGTACAATTGCAGTGTTTTGAGCCTTTTGGACTGTACACTGTACAGTACTGTACAGTGCGATACTGTAAGCTACAGTACTGTACTGTACACAGAAAATGATGAAGCGGATTGAATTTTCCATAGTACAGTAGACTAGATTGTGTGCCGTGGTTAGGGCTGCTCTACAGTATTTGGATATAATATACTGTAGTCCACTGCATGTACTGTACCCTTCTCCAATGTATCGACACAACGTACGGCCGATAGGGTAGAAAAGAACAAAACCCCAACAGTGCCTTCACGATTCCGTACCGCTGCTGAGAGTTGAAACTTTGGAATCTGGCTCGAATTCTGAAAATCAATTTTACTGCTCAGACTGGATCTGGTGATGAATGTTATTTTGGGTATTTTTTTCCTGCATCCATGCTGAAAGAGTCCATCGGCAATCGACTGAAATTAATCCTACAAAATAGGCGAGGAAGCCATTGCCATACAACATAATCGGACTGCCAGGATAAAAAACCCCCTGTTTCTGTGCTTGACTTAGCCGACGAAGCGTTCCTACGATACTGTCGGTCTATTTGGCTACGTTCCAACGATCCATTGGATTTGCAGTAAGTTCAATTTCAACTTGTTATCGATGTGCTATAGGCAGCAAGTGGGTATTTGAATGCGGCTGTGCTATACTGTATAGTTGGAGTTTTAGGGAAATGATGTAGGAGGCTTGTGGCTTGTGAGCATTACTCCTTCACTAGACCTTTGTTAGCAGCAAAGTTGGATACTGCTTGTACTGTAATTGTTGCAAATGATGATTGTTGATTATCAAGTTGGGTATGAGCACTTGTAATTGACTTTAAAAATTGCAATGCTACTTTGAGGAAAGGGTGTTGTTGAAATGCTTAGTTACAATCTCTTGTGCTCACCGCTTATTTCATAGACTGTAGCAAGTGGAGATGATGACGTTAATTAATCTTTTCATCGCTTTTGAAAGGTTGTTTTGGCCATACCCGTTTTCCTCATTGGTCGTATGGTACAACAGTGAATCATTGAATTTTGCTGTCGTATGTTCAAAAGCTTCATTGGCAAGTTGACTAGGTAAGCATCAACATTACTACATGTTTCAAAATGATTCTCCAATACTATTGCATATGGTCGTTTTGTGTTGTGCTATCATCTCTGCTAGAAGATGACCATGACCAAGTACGGTATCATCCTGAATTTGAAAGATTGCTGCTGATACCATACTGTACGTACGGTGGTGTTGTGTTTTCCCAAAATGATGTAGAGTAGAGTACAGTGGACGATACCACTCAGGTCTTGCTTGCCACCCTATAGCTGACTGTGGACTGTTTTGGTGCATTGCGCAGCTTGCATGACAGTCGTTTCCCGAGTAGCAAAACCAATTTTTCTTGACATAGTGTAGTTACCGATTCTTCTCAGCACGCTATTGATTTCATACTTGACTGCTAAAAGCAAACCTGAGTTGGACTGGTCGATCAAGTGGGCTTACAGTACCTCATTTGGGCGCTACCGTATCACAACGCCTCACTGTGATGATGACTACAGTACTTTGTACTCTACTCCAGTGAGTCCATTCTCTCTTTCTTCCATGGCTGTTGACTGCAGTCCAGTGTACAGTACGTACTGGACTGCAGTAAAGTACAATGTACTGTAGTTGAATCCCATGCCAAACCCCTTACGGTACCCCCTTGCAGTCCAGTACGTACAGTACTGTACTGGACTAGGTTGTGTGTACAATGTACTGTAGTTGAATCCCATGCCAAACCCCTTACGGTACCCCTTGATGATTGGATTTCTGCAGCTGCGCACTGCAAGTTTGTTATTGTTTACATGGGCTAGGAGCCATGGGTATGCTAGGCACAGTGTAGCAGACAGTCCTCAATAGCAGTACAGTAGTCAATACCGTCATTCAAAACGAAGACAATTCATCTGCTGAGAATCGCGCTTCGACGTACAGTACGTACCTACAGTACTGGGTACTGTAGTCGACGAGTCTACTGCACGGTCAGTCTCTCGTGTGGACAAACTTTGCAGTATGCCAACCACAGGCTCACGTGATCACCGTACAATGGACTGGACTGGTATGGATCGCATTCTCTTCTCCATCCAAAAACAACAACACTCGCAACAAGGGTCCCATCAAATCTTGTTACAGTTGAAGTAGAAGAAATCATCCAGTTGGAAAAGTGGTTGGGTTCAAGGCAGTATAGTTCAGTACATCGGATAAAGAAATAGTCTTGATTATGCATTGAATCATGACCAACTCTGCTTCGTTATCAGGCTTAGTGCTAATTCAAATTGTAACGACGGAAGTAATCGACAGCAATCAAGAAGAAGTTGCACATGTTGAGGATATTACTGAGATTTTAAAAAGAAGAATCAGCGATCATTTTCATAGGAAAATAGTACTTTAAAAAACAACTCTTACTCCCATGGTCAGTTTGGGTATATTGAGTGGGGCAGTCAGCCTTGTTATTGATACGCGTGTTGATCATTGAATCAAAACATTTTCATTGCATGTCGACATGCAAGGATTATTTTATTATTACATTGTATGTACTTTTACTCCATCATGAATAATGATTAGGTGTAGAATATTTCCATCTTTTTCAATTGCACCCACATTAGTACAACATCAAGTATTGTACAATTATCACTGTAGTCGAAATGATCAATAGGTTACGCTTTTGCTGTTGAAAAACCATTCAAAAGATGATACTACATTGATTCTTCGGCATACAGATTGACATTGATCAGTTTTGATACGTACGCCTTCATTACAGAATTGCTGCAGAGACGTAAAATTGCCCATTTGCAAATAGTCACCACTGAGGGCATGGTTTCACGGTCATTTCATTCGTGAACCATTCCTTTGCCAAGCACTACATAAGACCTACAGTGTACATTTGATTCGTCGGCCTGCTTTAAATCATCGTTATAGGTGATTTTACCCACGACTGTTAATGGATCTTAATAAATGTACTACATATGCGTAATTTACTATACTATTATCAATAAATAATATACCGTTGTTCAATAACTACCTCGTCTCATTGACCATCATTCTCACTGTCTTTTTCCACCATTTTTACAGCGTGCTACATGTTTTTTATTCTTATAGTCAAGATAGTATTCAATACTACGATATTATAAAAAAGGATAATTGAACCAATTGACTCCACTCTTCGTTAAGGCTTAACTGATGATGTTGTGAATGATACCTTTTGATATATAATTTATCTAACCAAGTTGCTCTACCAATGTTTATCGCATCGGTTAGCTTGCATGGAGGACAGATCGTTTAAAAAAGAAGCTCAAGCTGATAAATCCAACGGTAATTGCCTGGTCTGCAATGATCGTGCTTCAGGTTAGATATGTCTACTATGATAACACTGTCCACGTTACGAAATAACTTCACTACAATAATCGATAATTTACAACTTCAGAAAATGTATTTAATTCATTAAAAAATACAACATTGGGTACCGCTTTTAAATCCTACTTACTAATTTTTGATAGCTTATCAGCTGTATAATCGTTATCGAACAACTATAAACTAAACATATAACAATAAGAAACAATTCCATAAGCAATGACTATTCAATTGAATGATATGCTGAGGCAATAAGTTATCAGTACGGTATATTTCATATTGAATAGTATCATGTATCATGTACTATCTCAAATTGAAGGTATTGCTACACATTATGGTAATGGTTTTGTGTGATAAAATTACCCATAGATCATGAATTGCTACTAATGACTTTATTGTCGTATCACTATTGTAGTTTACTGATAAATTACTTCATGGTAATCTTGCTGATCATTCTTCACTCATTCATTTCCTAACCAATATCAGTAATGATTAAAGTCACGTTTTGATTAACGATATAATATGTGAAGGATGAGTCATAGCAATTGAATTGATAACTATAGGATACTTGTTACTTTAAGATTGCACACTTTTGCTAGTATACCGATATCTAACTTGATAACGGTACTCTTGTTTCTGTAGCTTTGTAGTTGTATGCTATAATATATATTGAACTATTTCTTTCTAGGGAGGCATTATGGCGTTTACAGTTGTGAAGGTTGCAAGGGTTTCTTCAAGCGTACAGTGCGCAAAAATTTAACTTACACATGCCGTGATAATCGAAACTGTGATATTGATAAAAAGCAACGAAATCGATGTCAGTATTGTCGATACCAGAAGTGTCTGCAAGTTGGTATGAAGCAAGAAGGTAAAAAAGAGTCTTTACAATATTGGTGATTGTAATAGCATAACTTTGATTATAGAATTTTAGTATTTAATTTTCTAGCTAGTAACAGCATTGATGGACAACTAAATTGTAGGAGTTTACTAACACTGTCAATCGTATTAATGAAAGCTATAGCGTGTTTAATGAATTCCTATTAGATTTTAGTATTTTTGACTTCTATAAATTACTTTTATGAATCAATTCAAAAAGTTGTAAAGTTGTAGTATTGCAGTATAGCGTTAATATTGACGAGAGTACTTTGCGAGTCCATTACATTTCAGATGCATACTTCGGATTGTGTTAAAATTTTATAATAATGCATAAAATATGCCTTTATTAGAATTTCGATAGTGGTCATTGATAATAATTGTTTATGGGAGACATTGCCGGCGACTAAAATCGCAAGGGTTATTGTTCGATAAATAATTGTCTCTTATACTATAGTACCTGTTCTAAGAATCATGGATAGCATTCAATAGTGTATAGCCCATTGATGTTTTTCAGCAAACGATATCTCAAGTATTAGTTTACTGTACATACTACTGTTTTGAATATTTGAAATTTCGCTTCTTACTAAAATGTTATCATTCGTTATACGTATATGCAGTACATACACTAGATAAAGTAATTGCTTATGAAGAAATATTTATTTTTAAGGCGCTTTTATATTATGAAGGCACTATTTCGGTCAAATTTTTTGACTTTTTAAAACTTAAATTATTTCTTTTTATTATTGGTATTATCAATTTGCTGTTCATGGTGAAAACCATTACATTAATTGAGCTTACAGACGAATGTTTTGCTCCTTGTAGTATTGTCATGTTTATACTTTATTTCTAGCTGTCGACGTAGTAAAATAGGTAGTGAGGTATTTGGTACATTTTTTTATCAGTAGTCAGTTATCGATAAATTGGGCCTTGATAAAATAACTATTTCACTAGAGTTAGGAAATTGGATAACCTTAAGAGCACTTATATTATTCACATATATAAATAGGAGTGTAAATGAAGCTATTATTGTTGATTTATTTTTTAAACTTTGATGTGATCTATATATAGCCGTGCAGGAAGAGCGCGTAAAGAATAGCACACCAACTAGTAAAACCACCTTACCGATAGCAATAGCGGATGGCTTCCCATTACCGACATATGGGAACGATGAAATGCCAGTTGAAGCTATCCGAGATGCTGAATCTACGCTTAATATGAATAGTGTACCTTACGTCGAAATGCAAAGTAACCCTGTCTTAAATATTTGTCAAGCTGCAGATAAACAACTATTTAATTTGGTTGAATGGGCCAAGAAAATACCCCATTTCTGTGATTTATGTGTCGATGACCAAGTAATACTTCTGAGATCTGGTTGGAATGAATTACTGATAGCTGCGTTTTCGTTTCGATCAATAGCTGTTGAAGATGGCTTGCTCTTATCGACTGGGCATTATATTCATCGCACTAGCGCGCATAATGCTGGTATTGGGGCTATATTTGATAGGATTTTAACAGAGTTGGTTAATCAAATGAGATATTTAAAAATGGATAAAACTGAATTGGGCTGTTTGAGAGCTATTATATTGTTTAATCCAGGTAGAAGAGAGAATAGAATAATGAAGGAAAATTTCTTGTAATATGTTTAACATTTATATTTGAGAGGACATACAGTAGATTGCATATTATATTTTGGTGATATAAATTGGAACCGGTATCGCAGATTGTCACTACTGTCAAACAAATGAATATTGCGCTTTTGGCTAAAGTAACTTATAGTATCGTGATACAAATTCGAAAATCATACAGTAAATTGTCACCTTCAATAGCCGATATGTAATGAGCATAAAATGTTATACAATTTTCTCATCTATTTATTTGTTGGTAGTAACTAACGCTACGGTATTAGTATCGTCTAAGTGATTTTTATGACTAAAAGAGAAATTTTAAAAATTGTTTTATTCTACTGCTAACTTTTGATGTTTTGTATGTGCTAGATGTTCGCGGTTTGACATCAGCTGATAGGGTTGAAAAGTATCGAGAGCTGGTATATGGAGCTCTAGAGGCTTACGTCAAGAAAAGGTTTCCTGACCAGCTCTGTCGCTTTGCTAAACTACTGCTTCGATTGCCGGCCTTAAGAGCGATAAGTTTAAAGACCTTGGAGCATCTTTTCTTTTATAAATTAATTGGTGATCCACCAATTGACACATTCTTAATGGAAATGCTGGAAACAGGCAGTTCTTAAATAGATCATTTCCTTTCTTTCAATCCTTTTGTGTTGAAAGATGATGAGATGGATTGTAAAATAGTAGCTGTCTTGTATTGTGGGTCAGTAAGTGTTGTTTTTGTTATGTTACCAAATTTTTCGTAGTTAATAGAAAATGACCGAGAAATTGTACTGTAGTTTGTTTTAATATTACTGTAATATTTGATTTTTATCTTCATTTTATATAAAAATTTATCCACCGAATCACTCTTGTACATAAAACTATATGTTAAATCGCTGTTACGATATACCATAAGATAGCGCAAAGTTAAACATAACCTGTTTTGGCAATATGCAGTTTTTAATCTTAATTTCGTTTTACTTTTATTGCCATACCTATCGATGTAGCGTAGTAGTATGAGTTATTGTATGGCGTATAATAGACTTGTAATTTACTAGTGTAACTTACCGGTGTCGATACAATAACAACTACTATGAAGATCTTCAGGCAGCAACCTCAACTAAAATCTAATTAATTAATTATGAGTGCAGATTGGTTTTTTTATTCCTATTGTTTAAGACGCCTATCTTCTATTTAGTCGTAATGGTGGTCTTCGATTAAAGCATGCCTATATTATATGCGCATTTAATGATAACTAAAACTTTTAGCGATTGAATGAGACAATTTATATATACGACGTATGTGACTCTTATTTTATTATACATCGTATACTGCGATAAAGAGAGAGATCGCTAAGTGTATAGCTAGATTTCAGGTTTGCTATGCAGCCATTTTGTCGACTTTTCTTTATAATCTTGCTTGTTTTAATAACAGCAATACGTCAAACCTATTAGGTCTATATAGGGTTGGAGATCGACCCAAAATCATGTTTCGATTAGCTTTAACTAGCATTGAATGTATATTATTATCTATAGCCCAACGAGAACATTATTTTGGTTGTATCATTATTACAAGTAGCTTGACGTTTAATTTGCACAATTTGGTTACTAGCCTTCCTAGATAATCGTAGAATAGTAATAATGAATAACTGTAATTGAAATAAAGAGTATCAGATAACTAAAATGATATCAGAGTGACAGTTCCTACGGAATGAGCATTACGCGTAATTTAAATTACCAGTGTTTATTGGAGATATCGTGAATGTTCTGTTTAACTTTAATTAGTATGAAAAGGCTATTTAATTATCAGGTACACGCTGGTAGTCTGTATACTTTCCATGGGTGATTCCACAATAAAATGTCGTTACTTCTCAACAAAGATGATAGAAACAACATAAAGTAACGTAAAAGCCTATTGATTTGCAGCGATGACCTTTCATGTAATACATTGAATTAGTAAACTGAACTCTACATTAAATATGTATTAATATTTAAATATTAATAACTATGATAGAAATATGGCAATGATATTGCTATGGCGTTTGCCAGTCCTTGTTATGTTTACTCATTGAGTATTATATATTTTATTAACGTTATTGTCAGTTATGTACAGTATAGTATACTGTATGCTGTCTTAAAGTCTATTATCTATCTAGCTTTTTATCGATCAACTACATACGGATAAAAGAGCGTTGTAGGCATTTATTCGGAAATGTTAAATATTCGATTATGTTGGCTTTTATTAAATATATTTTTATAATATAATTAAAACGAGGAAGAACTCAGCCAGGTGGTGTAGCATTTTAAAATGATGTTAGGTAGTTATTAGATATCGATGGCGAAAGAATCTTAACTCTCCATATAGGATATTTACTAACTTATCTTAAAATATCTAAGATACATTTGTATTAATACAGTCGCTGTTCTCCGTATATCAGTTTTATTTCAGAATCGATTCTGGAATGCGGTTGTGATAGGAAACCGCAAGCGTTTATTTTGCTATGCTATTTTGACGTATATACAGTATATATGTACATGTAATGTAAATGGTTCAACGCTGATGATTGCATACCGGAAAATACCTCATCATGCTAATAAATTTTAAAAATTGATGGTGAAAGGAGTGCATTCATACTTTACACTAGCTGATAATTATGTACTTTTCTTACTGATATTGACGTAATTTATGCCTAAACAAGACAGTACTAGTGATTGCAAATCACTTTCTTCATCAGTTAAAGCATCAATTTTAAACATAACCTGGAAAAAATCTTTTAAATGTCTTAAAAATGCTACAGTATAATCTGTTAAAGGTCCAGTTCTAATTTTGCCAACATCAGGAGGACCCAAAGCAATCATTAACAAGGCTAAGGTTTGATGTGTTGCATCGATACAACCACCTTGCTTGATTTCAGATAATAGCTTATATGCAGCATATTGACCAATATCTTCAGGCAATTTCTGATCGGATACATCAGCAGTCAGTTGTGACGAATACATGACACCGGAGGTTGTAGTAGCTGTTAAAGTAACACCAAATCCAGGTGATAGACCACTTTGGTTACCTTTACAATGATCAACATAAATGTATAAATCGGAAATAAAGGGATTTAAGCTATTTCGACAGCTATCAATAATACGATTAGCCATGGCGGGCGATACACGTGTTGTATAGCTCAGACCGCGTATTTTCTTGACTTTACCCGTTTCTAACATATTAACAGTGTTCAACTGCCTAATAACTGGGCAACGAAGGAAGATTTCACCTCCACCTTTAGGCATGGATCCGCGCTTATTGATGGTTAATTCCAATCCTTCATCTAAACCGAATTTTTCCATTAATTTTAACGTTACCATTTTAATAGTATCAACGCTAGGATCATGACCACCATTGGTGATACCTTGTAAAGTTAATTGCAAGGCAGTCTTACAAAAAGGTGCTAAGCAAAGTATAGGTTCTAGATAGTATCCAAGACTACGACTTCCGCTACTGCAATCGTGACTCAGTATACCACCATTGATAGTACCTGGTTTATACATCAACTTTGTACCAGTGTGATTGATAATTATTTCGCTACCATTGCACATTTTTTCTAACAACTTGATGAAATTTGCTTCATGTTCTTGCAAGCCAGGCTCGTCATCTTTGCTACGTATATCAACAATTTTCACTGGTCTTCCACTCAATGTCGATAGTAATAATCTTTGCCTAAAGAAATTACTGCCATGATAAGTTAACCATCGAGTTTGATAATCACTTGGCATGTTGATAGCTCTACTTTTCTTGCCAACTTATCCTATCTGCAAGGTTGAAAACGACAGTATACTTGATTTCTTTCTTCTTTTAAGATAGTTTTGCAGCAATTATAACTTTTAGCTCCCGTGAGCTCGTGACAGTGTTGGGACCTGGCCTGGCCCAATACGCATGCGTTAACCTGATACTGGCAATCATTCATCGACAAGGTGCTTGAACTAAGGTACTTTCTAGTATGCGAGTGAAAAACTACTATCCGAAGGTAATGTTGTAAGCAGGATACTCATAAAGTTGTGTTATGTAGTGCTATAGAAGAAGAAATGGGGGAGTACTCAGTCATGGACGAGAAGTCCATGACTTAGTATACAGACAGCATGATGATGATGATACAAATATCATACAATTCTGTTCAGTCCACTGAGAGACCACAGTACTAATTTACAGTACTATACTCAGTACAGTGTACTGTATTGTAGAGGGTAATCAGATTAGCAGTAGAGAAATTATCTCTAAAATAGAGAACCGGCTTTCTGCTATTTTAAAGTTGTCCCTACAACAGTACATAACAAATTAAAACTCTTTATTTTGAATAAATACAGTCCGTGACACATCAATGTTTATAACCTGATACTTGAGATAGAGAAATATTAACACTTTCTGTTTTGATAATTACATACAAAGTAAATCATAAACTAGGATATTAGACAGATTCCATAAATGCTCATTTCCAGCAAGTACGAAGTCCTCCTTCCATGAGTTATAAACATGCCCTATGCATTAATTAACATTGCTTTTCAGATCTTACTGTTTACTCTGAGCAACGAGTTCTAGTTTAGATATTGCTATTAGATATGATTATTGTCCTATGCAAGTTAACAATGCAATCCATAAATAATTCAATAGTGTTTTCGGCAGTTATCACATATTTGAATATAAAAATATAAAAATTGGAACATTAAGATAATAATCTTATATATCATATCCAGAACTTTTGCTTCTTTCCACAAGCTTGTAAAATGAAGATTGTCCATCGCTTAGCAATTTATCCGGTTTTTCAAATTCAATAACACGTCCGTTGTCCATGACTAGAATACGATCACTGTCCAAAATGGATGACACCCTACGGCCAACCAAATAGACTTACATTTAGCATAACATTAACCCTAACCCTAACCCAAATCACAGTACCTAAATAATATTTAATTTTTACTTTACGACAATCTAATTAGTAAAGTATCATCTGAAAGTATATTAAGGCATACATAAAATTGAATTATTAAATTTTCAAAGATTGTTCAACTTTAACGAAAGCATAAGTTAAAATAAGCGCTAATTCTAGGTTTGTAAATTGGAGTAGTAATATATTGCAATTTGCATTAATTAATTAATGTGTACGAACCTATGAGCAATAGTTAGCACAGTTCTCTGTTGGAATTGTCTTTTAATAGTCTCTTGAATTAATTTGTCGGTGTTGTGATCAACACTAGCGGTAGCTTCGTCAATGCATAAGATCTGTGAAAATTTACATTATTGCAATAGTGTTACCATATCTAAGCAGAATCACCGAAACGATATGCAAGATAATAAACGAGTATATAACATATTTGAAACCAAACTTTGATTATGAACTATACCTGAGCATTCGTCAATAAGGCACGAGCGAGACATACAAGTTGCCTCTCGCCGACAGATAGGTTTCGCCCTTTATTACCAACATCTGTTTCAAGCCCATCTACAGTACAACGGTATCAATTGCGAATAATACTTAAATTAGTAGGTGTATAATATCTTTTCAATCTTTTACAGATATTTTAACACAATTATCACCTCTGTCTATAACATTATTCAGATGACATTTTTCCAATACCATTAACAGTTCACTATCGCTATGGTTATTGAAAGGGTCAACGTTATTTCTTATTGTCCCATTAAAAAGAAATGGATCTTGTGGTATTATAGCCATTCGAGATCTAATGATATAAATATTTAGGAGTGATAATTTTTAGAGTTAGCTAAAGTTTTTACGTAACGGTGTCCTAAAATTTTAACAGCCGGCTATATTCAGTTACCTCAAAGCGGTTGTAGGAATAGTGCAGATATCGATATCATCAAGGGTAATATTACCAGAAGCTAATGGTTGCATACGAAATAATGCTAAGAAAAGACTTGATTTTCCAGAACCGGTGCGTCCGACAATGCCAATCTAGGTAAGAATTTATATATAGTACAATAAGACATAACAGTTAAGATAGTTTCGTAAGATATTATCTTCAGTTCTTGCGTAATAATACATGTATGTATATACCTTCTCTGAAGGTCTTGTAGTAAAAGAAACTTTATTTAACGCTGGAGGTAGCCCTTGTCTGAAATTAATTTTAAACGTTATCAAATCATGAAAACAGAGGTAAATTCTAAAAGAAAAAGGAAGTAACCTGTAAATTAATGTAACGTTATTGAATTGTAGAGTCCCTTTGCTAGGCCACAGCGATGGAACCTGAAAAAAGGTATAAGATAATCTTGATTTATGGTCACATAATTTTTTTCTTACTATTACATTCGAATGCTTGTGAGTCGCTTTGCAAGATCTTTGCAGATCAGAATTTATACCAGCGCTGGTAAAAAACTTGAATTCTTTTTAAGTAATTTAGTTGAATTAAAATACCTGGCAGATGTAATCTTGCTGTACTTCTTCATGATGAATGCCATCAATGTATTGCTTGGCCCTCTCAACGCTGATCATTTCCTTTTCAGTTTCTGTAAATGCAGTCAAAACTCCTGAGAGCTGTGACGTTACCGATAAAGCATAGGATATAGCTAAGCCAATTAAACCTTTCAGCAGTGAACAAGATAGTTAGTCATATAACTCAACATATGGTTAATGTTGCAGTATTGTACAACTGTGAACTTATTAAAACATTATACCTGGATCCACCGTTTGAAAATGGTGTTGAATTACGGCTATGAATCCAACAGCTGTTACCATTCCAACTCCCAATAACTGAAGTCGGATGCCTAACCATTGAGACACTGCTTGACCTATTTACATATAATTTTATTAAATTATATTTATCTAAATGTAAAATAAATGGCATCTGAATTGCGCAGTTTGGTTTATTAATTTGAAGCAGTAATTTTCTTACTAACTGGCATAATTTGCTCTTTGGTACGTTTCAAGTCGTCTTTCATTTTCTAGTGAAAAGGCTTCAGAGGCTCTGAAAGCTCTTATACACTGTAAGCCATTTAATGTCTCTGTAAAGTGAGTGTATATTGGAGACAAAGTAACAGTTGATAATCGCTTAATTTCTCTTTCAATGTCATAGTTGAAGATAAAAGTAAGTAATATATTAGTAATAAATAAAATGTTGATATCGGAAAAGATTTAAGATTTTAAAATGATAACATGAGACGACTTAATGCTACCTCGACGTCTTTCTATAGTAGCGCTGGATGAAATAGTATATGATACCAACTGGTATTAAGGCAATCATGAACCAAGGCAACCCTATGCAAGTTATAACAATCGTACCGGCAAAACCATAAAGTTGTGCCAATAGAATGTTCATAATGAACGGTAATGAATCGTCGATAGCATACTGTTTATTAAAAGGACAAATATTATTAATTAAAAAAATTATTTTTGAAAGTACTGGATAGATGAGCTCATTTCGATAGTTTAGAAAACGAAGAAAAAAGTTACTAACCGCATCAGACGAGAAGCGATTAATAATTCTTCCAACCTATAAGAAGTCATGTACAGTAATAAATTGGACGACATACATTGTAGCTCAAGAAATAGTACGTGTATATTAGATTTTAAATTCAAAGTATGGCTGCCACATACCGGAGTGGTGTCAAAAAATTGAACTGGTGCACGGAGTACAGAATCAAAGAGTTGGTTATGTAGAATTTTCGCAGCACAAATACCCCCGTACGCGTATGAAAATGCTCTTAAAAGCGTAAACATCTAGTATAGTGATATATATATAGTATGTGAATTTTCATGATATGCCCTTGAGTAGCTATAATCCTAAAGCCAAAATCACTTACAGTATTTCCTATGGCTATAGCTGAGTATATCGTCAAGTAGAAAGTAACGTTGCTGTCGTAGGTATTTAAAGCCAATAAATTTTCTGAGTTTATACTGTTATAATGGGCTATTTCGATGAAATTATGCCCTGCTGATGGGAAATACTCTGGTAATAATGTGGCACCATACGTATTTACACCAGAACGAGAATGATTCTTTGTTTGTGATATCCAGAACGACAGCCACCAATCTGATACGTTACGGGAACCTATTAACAATCGGATTTGATGCACAATAAAGGCAAAACTAGGTTAAATTTGTAATAAATTTTTAAATATACTGTATGTCAAGTATGTCGCTCAAATAAATAAGTTCTATAGGTATATTTGCATAACACATTTAGTTACCTTGCATTAATAATAATGAGGTGAATATTATGATGGACAAACAAATGCCGACGGCCGACCAGTATGCTTTATATACTGATAAAGCTACCACACCTTCGTATTGTTCCTCTTGCGTTATCAGGGTGTCATCGTTGTCATTTATGTCGATGCTTTCAAATTTCTGCAAGGTAATTGTTGAGACTGACTGTTAATACAGAATCAATGGTTTACATCACACATAAGAGCAATTATAACAAGAAATAAATACATCAGATTCTTCTTTGTCATCTTCTTTGTCGTTATCGTTGTTCTGAGAAAGTAATTTTACTGTCTCACTATCCAAGACGGACTCTGGTGGACCTGACTGTATTATTCTTCCTGCATCTAATACCGTTACTACATCAGCTTGACGAAGAAACTGAGTTTGGTGGGTGCACAGTATTCTAGTACAGAAGAGAATATTTATATCTTGTAATAGCATCTTAATTAACGTAGAAAACTTATGATTTAGATATTGAAGAGTTCAAGTTACTTGCATCCTGACAAAGATTTGTGAATGATACCTAGTTTTGTGTTTAAGTATTCCTAAGATGCAATGTTGAAATAGATGTTGTGCTACGTGCGAATCAACTGCAGCTAATGGATCGTCCAAAAGATAAATTTCTTTGTCTTGATAAACAGCACGAGCAAGAGTAAGTCTTGCCTTTTGCCCACCGCTTAACGTTACGCCATTTTCACCAATTTCGGTACAGTCTCCAGCAGGTAAAATCCTTAAGTCTTCCTCCAAAGCACAAGCGAAAATGGTAGCTTTATATGCTGATTCATTGTAAGCTTTACCAAATAAGATGTTTTCTTTAATTGTTCCTTGCTGAATCCACGGTTCCTAGAGAATGACCAAAATAATAAAAGGATAGGAGTTTATGAGCATTATGCGTAAAAATACGTAAGTATACAGGAAACTAATCAAAATCATATTACAATACTTTTAAGTATAATTGCCAACCTGTGTAAATATACCGAAACCAGACTGTCTCTGCGGAATACTTATTTGACCAGTAATTTTTCTTAGTTCTCCTGTCATGGCTCCAAGCAATGATGACTAATATCAAAAAAAGATACGTCGCTTAAATTATATGCGAATAAAGTCGATATTAATTGCTTAAATCGAGATGAGTATATGGACTAATGTTTTATTTTCTTTTGTTAGTCCTGCTATATTTATTTATACCTTTCCCGAACCAACTTTGCCAACAATGCCTACAAGTTGCCCTGGTGATGCACTAATAGCTATATCAACTATACTAGGTCGTTCACTTTCAGTATGATCATTATAACTAGGTTGCCAAGTAAAGGTTCCTGTAAATATTTAGCTATTTGTTATTAAAGGTGTAAAATTATACACAATAGCGATGTTGTCAATTGAACTGCTGCCGTACCATACATGTGAAAGTACCTGAGTTGATCTCAATTTCATGCTCTGATCTGTTCCTTTGTATAATAGAGTAGTATTTCTCGCTGTCAAATTCTTCAACGGAAAGAAATTTTTGCACTCTTTTCACGGAAACCCATGCTTCCATCAATCCATTAAGAACCCAAGGAAATGCATTGAGCGGGCTAATTAGCATGTTAAATAGTGCAACACTAGTGAAGACCTAGTGATTAGTTAGAAAACAATACAACATTAACTGACTCGAAAATTAGCTTATTATAGCACTTTCAAAAGCGTACTTTAGCTGCAGTTAGTCTATTCCCCAATGCTGCGTAAGTTGCAAATGTCAATATAGAAATAATGACTGGTGTTGTGGCCCAAAAATAAACACATAATGCATCAAGGTACTTCCTTCCTTTTAAACTCTTCAGCTCAGCATTCCTATAAAATTGCATTTTTATTAATGAAAGATTTCATAGATTTAATGGAGAAAGATTTTAACCTCAGTCTTTCAATTTTGTTTGCAAAATTAGCTTCCCAGGCGTAAAATTTAATAACTCTAATACCATATAAAATCTCGCTCATTGTATTGACACGACCGTCCTTTTGTTTCATCATTTCAGTGCTCAACTGTCCAATTTTACCTGCTAACCATCTTATTTATAGAAAATTTTGACATAAACGATAGAGAATTTGAGATTGAAAGATATTAAATATCGTAATAATAAGTAACTATATTTAGCAACAACAGTTCGTACTTATTGATTGGTATGAGAAGGATTATGAAAGCGACGCCAGCTAAGAATGATATTCCTACTTGCTGATATAAGAGATATAAAGATATCGCAATTTGGAATGGCAAACTCCAAAACTGATGAAAGCTTGGGCAAAAGTTAACAATTCGGTCTGTGTCAGTACTCATTAAATTTACAATTTCACCAGTATCGAATTTAGACAATGAGGCAGTATTAACGGAAAGTGCTTTACTATAGACGACAGCAACCAAGGCTGTTCTAATTTGAATTCCAACTTTATTGACCTATATTAAGCAAAGTGAATAAAAGTTAAGACATTAATGGTAATTGAAATCTTTTTATCAGATATGATTGTGTCAAATACTATCTACTTATTATAGCATATAAGTGGTAATTCTGTGTAAATGACTGTTCGATGTTGGAAATATTTGCTCTTGCAATCATAATAGAGGCTTACTTTGAAAGTAAATTGGGTATTTAGAATTGCACTAATACCAGTGGCAAAGAATAATCCCGCGGCATAAATATATCCATTAATGGTTGGTTGATTTTTGTTTTCGACAAATGTGACTAACTGATGCAATAGTAGAGGTCCAGTAAAACCTAATAAATCACTACTTAGTTTTAATATAGCTAATGGATAGTAGGTCTTTCCAAAAGTACGATTAAGAGCTGTCAATAGTGAAATTCTGATCTTGACATTATCATCTGTTTCGTCATTTGTGTGTTTATACGTCCACGCTCGCATAAATTGTCGACGAATGTAACTTGTCTTGAGCTTTCTTGGCAATAAGAATAGATCTTTAGCTTGCCTGAGTTTACCAGCAGCACCGCGAACCATCATTGGTTGCACCCAACAGAAGAAAAGTCGCGATAGATCGCTATTATTATCTTCGGCAATACCTAATGGAGAAACTTCTTCACTCTTTATTGTATCTATAGTAGAATAGGCAGGTTGAATAGTCGTAGTTAATAGTCTTTGTTCTTCATCGTCTTCATCATCAACATTGATGCCATACCTTAAGCGAGACATTGCTTGGCTAATGATAGTACTTTGATTGCTACGACCACTAGGTAATAATAAAATAAGATATAGCGTCTGAAGCCCAAAATCTGTAAAGACACTATAGTGTTGTATAAAATAATTGGCTTTCGTTCGCTTGTGAGGATTAAAATTGCCAATTGCTCTATAGAATTCAGTTATTGATGCCAGGTAGCACAGTAGCCATGCTAATAATAACCATAATGGACCTCGGCCAATCTTTTTCAAATCAGAGCTTCGCATTGACCATTGGGCTATTAAAAATGATAACCAAGCGAGGATACATGAACCTTTACTAAGCAAGACGACAGGCTTGAATACAACATGAGGTATAATATAAGATACCAACTGAAGAGTATAATTTATCATGCATAAAGATGTGATTAATAATCTAATTTTGACGACCAGCGATGCTGCCGATTGAAAATTACCAGACAATTTTTTATTGTACCCAATGTAATACCATGAGATACAAACTAGCAGCACGCTAGAGGGAAAGCAAATAGCACCTAATTGGAAGCATCGACCAAAATCACTACCCAACCAAACTCCTTTGCTTGTTGATCCACAAAAGTCATCTATCCACGTCATCTTGATACAATAATATCCAATAGGTGAATTTGGTAATTATAAATGTTTACAATCAAAGCAAGATCTACGCATATGAATTAGGAATAGATTAATCGTCAATCGGAGTGAAATAGTTCTATGCTAAAGTGACAAGAAGAGGAATATACTTTATTGTAGTCCAGTTTTGGGGTTATAGCCTAAAACGTAAATCTTGACGTCATTGATAGACTAGGATAAGGAAGAATAGAATTAGCTTGGAAACTGGAATTCTACAGTGCTGTACAATGAAGGTGTTAATTAATAAGAGGTAATAATGATCTGTCAGAGCACAAGCAGTGCAGTAGTCTACAGACCTTATGCATAATATCATCATCGCACTTTCTTTAATGCTTACCGTATCATCGAGTCTGAATTCAACGTGGTCAATGTTGACAGGAGCAATTTTGACGTGTTATAATTATCAGGTGAAGATCACGCACGTAGTGAAAAACCAGTCGGTGAAGACCAACAGGTAACGTTCAACTCTTACCACAGAACATCGATCTAACATCTATGTCAATCTGATATAATTTATCATGGCTTTGGTCTACCTTACTACTATCACTGTTGTTGCTTGCAGTGAGAATTGAAGATATTCAAGCTAGGCACGATTCCTTTTCGATTTGAACTCTCTGCCACTTCTTGTCTTGTCTAGTCTATGCAGCGAGCTCAATCTTCCTAGGGAAATGAATGATACCCTCAAGACAATAACAAGGGCTAGATAGGCGACAGTCGCTGTTGGGGTGACCTGTTTACACGCTACAACAGTACTGGACGGTAAGTTATCCTACAGTGTACAGTACTGTCTCTACAGTAGCAACACTTGGTACTGTGAAGAAGTACTGTAGTACCTGAACTTACAGTACTGTACAGTATCATCGTTGCTTGCAGTGAGAATTGAAGATATTCAAGCTAGGCACGATTTCTTTTTGATTTGAACTCTCTGTCACTTCTTGTCTTGTCTAGTCTACGCAGCGAGCTCAATCTTCCTATGGAAATGAATGATGCCGTAAAGACAATATCACCGTTGTTGCTTGCAGTGAGAATTGAAGATATTTGTACAGTACTGTACAGTACTGTACTGTACTACAGTACTGTACTGTACTGTATACTAGGCATTTTCTGGTACTGTACACTGTAGCGTTAGCAGTGTGCTTCACTGTTGGTAGTTGAACTCTATAGTATTTCATAGTCATAGTAGAATACTATACAAGTAGGAGTGTTCATTTACAGTACAGTACAGTACAGTAGGAAGCTATCCTACAATGTACAGTACTTTGCCTACAGTAGCAACACTTCGTATTGTAGGAAAGTACTGTACTAGATCGTACTTGAAGTTGCCATATCATACTGGAATACAGTACTGTACATTGTACAAGTTGATCGTGTTGATCTGCGACACGGTTTCAGGCGGTTTTCACCCTATTAAGCTGAAGTCAGTGGATGAGACGCCTTTTAAGAGTGAGCTACCTGCGGTATCATACTGTGTTGCAAACACGGTGTTGGCTCTTATACAAAGCCATATGGAGATACTGTGATTCAATACGCTGTATTGATTTGTAGCACGGTTTTACTCTATACCGTCGGTTTTAGGTGGTACAGTCCAGTCGTACAGTATCGCATGACAGTGAGACTTGCCTAACTACTAGAGTCAATAGTTCCGACGGCCTCCTTGTGCGCCCTTCAGCATCGGACTTGCACATTTTAGACTTGTGCTTACTCTTCGTCAAAGCAACAGAAAGTGGCTATTAAAGATACCACTGGTAGTCGATATCATGGTTGTGGCAATTCGTTTAGCACTGCATGGTTGTCGTCATCGACCTTTTTACCATATAGTTGTTGCTAATAAAAGGAGTAAGAGGAATGGACTCCCACTTGAGCAGGTGAAGCTCTAATGATGCCATATTGATAAGGGCTAAATGAAAGATAGAGCCAACTTGATGCAGTATTTCCTAGCTACTTTTGCAGTTGTTAACCTCATCAATTTCTCCTTTTAGGTTGGTTCATTCGATCCATTACCTAATAGAAGCAATGAGAAATTGGTTGCTTTAAATATTGAGCGTATAAAGTAAGTTTTACGAATGTTACAACGTCAGTCGAGGAGCATCCTTTCGCTGCGTTGCAATACTGCCTGTTTTGATACCTGTTCAAGATCTAGTTTAGCTTTCAAACCTTTCTCTATTTCAATATCGAAACCAAACCAAGCCAAGTATCTACATAAAATTCAGTGAGCTGCTGCACGTATCTCACTGCCCAATAAACTGCTTCTAAAATTACAAAATCATGCAACACGCAAGTGAACTTTGTATTCTATATCCAATAAAGAGAGGCTTATATTGTACGCGTAATAATTTCTCTAGAATGATAATGGAAATGTAATAGATTATAAATATAGCGAAAAGTAGCGCCTAGTTAATAGTTATCACACTAGAATGGGGAATGGTGAACTGCTACGGTGCCATTCTATATTTCTTTCTAATGTCCCTTGTTGTCCACAATTTCGATACATTAAAAGTTAAGGCGGTACTTCATCATAGACATATTGGAAAAATCGATTCGTATATGAAAGATAAGCAGACTTGACATTTGCACTTTGGCAGTGTTTCAGATTTGGATGATAACACATTTTATAAATGCTATGCATATTGATACACTACAGTCCTAGAAATAAATAACTTAGTGGCCCATTAACGATTTATTTCTACGTTTCAGGTATTGGCTAGGTGTCGGAGCTCAACCTACTAAACCAGTTACAGCTCTTCTCGCCATGGTAACGATAGCATTGTAGCATATCGACTTCTTTATATTATCAATACATATGCTCCCTGTATACTATAGCATGTGTAACTTGGCTATTCTTAATTGAAACATAGTGGATCAGTCATAACGACATCAATATCCCCTTAGTACGGAGCGTACTTATCACACTAGAATATATCTTATATGAGATAAGTGAAATAATTCTTTGTATTGTAGGCTGGAATATTACCGATACATCCTAGAATAGAATACGAAGCCACTAGAAGGTTAAAGATGAAAGAAAGTAATAAAAATACTGAAGCATCGGAAGACACTACTGCTTAAAAGGCTTTTATAGTACGCTAGTAACCATATAGGCGTACTTGTATCTGCTGCGTTAACGTTTGCATTTAGGTATAGCCTCTCGAAGAAATAATCACAGCTGTTGCATACCGTACTTCGAAAACTTCAATTTAATAGCGAAAGGCATTGTACTATACACTGTATGACCTGTTATGATATATTTAAAGACAAATCAAATATTGTTTATTTAAGTATACTTATAATTAAGATATATATATATATATGTGCTCGTATATATTTTATATTATGTGATCAATTTGATGTGAGTGCACATGTAGACCTAAGAATTTTGCCATCATACAAAAATGTAAAAATGTAAGAGTGTACCTAGTTTTTGTTATTATGAATGTAATTGCCATTTAGACTGTTTTTTGAAACTCCTGCAAGGAGCCGTGATATTAAGCTGATATTCATAGCAAAAATAAATAATGACACTCCAATAGCAGCATTTGAGCGTACTATCGTATGCATCGTACATCCTTATTACTTTCAAGCGTCAAATATTTGTGAAGACCTTTATCTATTCAATACGATAGGTCGACAGCCTCTAATGTACGAATACGGATTTAAATTTTAATATTTCTTTTTCGTTTCCAACGATTCCATTAGAGCTGGAGCACCCCATACTGTCGTAAATACAGATCTGCATATGAAGGATTGATGTAGTTAATCCCAGTAGTAAAAGTAAATAATATAAATATGCCAGATAAAAATTAGTTATGATGCTTTACCTTTCAAACTGCAATGCCTGATCAGTCCCTAAATCATCAGCATAAGTAACTATTTGTTTTATTCCTCTTATAGAGTTTACAGGACCATCAATGATTTTCTTTAACCAATTCATACCTGCATGTAAGGTTACCTACAATTTGGCAATGGAAATAGGCAAATAATCTTATTTCTTTTACGAGTATGATTAATTAATTAGTTTGCATAATTCAGCTGACGCAAAGTCTTTATCATGGACTGGTATCTTAACAGTCATACAGTATACAATATCTAGATATATTAAGTCGCTACTAACTTGATCACTACTTATTATGTCATCGGCAAGACCGTACTGCAGAGCATCCTTTGCAGTTATTTTAATACTACCAGCAAGTAATCTCAAAGCCATACGCCTTCCAACAATATTTACTAATCTTGAACCACCGCCCCAGCCAGGTGTCACTCCTCTTTTGACATGAACGAAACGTATCTCTAAAGTGAACAAGATCATAAGATATAATTTACCAGTATTGGATATCGAATTGAGCTAATTTCGTAATGTCATAAAAAGTTGATCAATGTAAAACATCGTACCTGCATTTTTGGAGATCAATCGAAAATCGCACGCTGTAGTTAGCTAATGTGTATGAATATATAGCACGATCAAAATAATGTTAATATCATCTTCATGACTTTAATTTAACATAAATTACATACGAAGAGTCAAACAAATTTTCGCTACAGGATGGAAAGAAGTAGTTATCTAATAATTAAAAATCTTATAACTTGTAGGGGATTTAAAATACTATCCCTATAATACCATCTCATCTTGACAGAGGTATGTGTATGTTACGCTCAGTACGGAAGCAATAAAGCAGTGATCTTCCATAGTTGTTATAAAAAAGTCGTTGCAGGATTAATCAATTTACCTCAGCACCTCCACCGAGAGCCTTGCCTTCAATAACTGCTAGGCTAATCATGGGTAAACGTTTAAGTCTGGTCAGTGTTGTTTGCATTAATTCACACATTGCTTCCCCATGTTCAGGTGAATTAAATTGTTTAGCAAGATTTAAATCTGCTCCACTGCAGAAAGTACTACTTGCACCAATCAAAATAACTCCTTTGCCTTCTTTCCACTCTTCCAGTTGGTTAATAGCATCTCTCAATTGTACCATCATGCTACCACTTAAAGCATTACGAATTCTTTCATTATCGATTGTTAATACAGCGATTTTGCTATCATCGAACTTTTCTAATTTAATTTTACCACCTTCAACTTTTTGTAGTTGTTGTATTATACTTGTATTATCAGTAACACTCAATACAGATGTTCTACTTAGATGGCGATAGCAACCCTTTCGATTGATTACACAGCTTATGCGATTCACTGTACATAATAATTCATTTCTATTCTGAATGGACATAAAACGCCACATAATTTATTCCAGACTGTAATTCATCTAAAACACAAGTAAAATGAATTTCGTGCTAACTAAATTTATGCTGCAGAACTCTTTTAAGTCACGGTTTAATCCACAGCATCTCTGCCAAAGCAAATCCTAGCCAAGATCTCAAAGTAGCAGGCAGGCGCACCGGGATGAAAAGTCCAAGCTAGTCCAGTACGGAACGGTACCGTACTGGACTGGACCGGACTGGTACCGTTCTGGACTGGACTAAATAGTTCAAGTGCTCAACAGCCGAACATTGCAAAAAAAGTGCAGTGTAAATTATTATTCGAGTACTGCAGTTCTTAACACTTTACTGTCAACAGCAGTAGTAGAGGATAGCTTATTACTGTAGCCAGCAACCAACTTGCTCAACTCGTGGCCTGGTAAAATTGGAGGATACTTGCTGGCTAATTGCAGACTTGCAGCTGCCTTGATTCAAATCAAGGCCGTAAGATATTGGATAGAGTAAATAGAATAGACTCCTGTGATAGGAAGAATACAGTAGCTCAAAATAGCTAATACAAGCTACGATTTTATAGAAAGTGCTGATTAATTGACTGCATAGTAACAACTTGTAGCTTGCTTATTCATCCCTTAGTCGTTTAGGTGTGCCTGTGCAGCTGTGCTCCAATATTCCTACGATATTCTAAACCATTGGTATACGATGGCTGCAATAGATTCCCTTAAAGCGCATTCACAATATTTAAATACTGCACTAGAGCTAATACCAGCTAAGATTTATTTTAGCAATGATGGAATTAAAGAAAAATACTGGCGTAAGGAGAAACGGAAGAGTAATTCACAACAAAATAAAGCTGCAGCAAAACTAAGCAAAAAGTTAAAGCTAGATCCAGCTCAACACAAGAGTAATTTGGACATAGCCAAAGAACGAGACGAGCAGGAAAAGATCTCTAAATCTGTTGCAAGTGATGAGGAAATCGAACAATCGCCAGTAAAAGCAGCAGGTTCGGACGTGAACTCTGTTAAGCTTGCTTTTCGGAATAAATTACATCAATTAGAAAAGAAACGGAAAAAAACGTCGCAAAATGATACAGCAATGACTACTAAAATCAAGAAGAGACGAGAAGATAGTCGGAAGAAGGCTAAAAAGACCAAGAAGGTTGCACCTGCTCAATCTAATATCTCGAAAAGTCAACAATCGAATAATGATGATCAAAATAGCGCAAAGAGTAATAAATTACTTTATAGCAAGTTTGAAATTGATAAGCAAGTTTCTAGTAATCCGAAAGTCAAGAAAAAGAAAAAGGACCTTCAGCAAATGCTTAAATCTATCGAAGATAAAGAAGCCAAAATGAAAGAAATAGCTAAAACCGACAAAGCAAAAGCGACGGAACTGAAGGATAAGATGGTATGGAAGAGCGCTATAGAAAAGGCGAGGGGTAATAGAGTCAAGGATGATCCTAAATTGTTAAGAAAGACTATTAAGCGTCAAGAGCAAAAGAAAGAAAAAAGTAAAAAGGATTGGAATAATAGAGTGCAAGCACAGCAGAACGCCATGAAGGAACGTCAGAAGAAACGAAAAGCTAATATTAAAGAGAGAGTACAACGTAAAAAGGTGAAGAAAATCAAGAAAGCAAAGTAAAAGTTTAATGCATTGATTGGATTATTTTAATCCTCATCATTAAATTAATGTGGATTTAATACTTCAAATGAAAGTTAATTTGTTAAGTCATTTCTGAAATTTTATGCATAACTAGATCTGAGATATGTCAATTTTCATAATATAATGTATATCAATATCAGCAGGAGATACGTGTACATACATGTTAAGCAGTATTGCTGGTGGAAATACACACGTAATTTAAAATCTTAAATTAATTGCATGTTGAGAATAGTAAAATAGCTTAAGCGGTAGAGGATTATATAAAACTAACATCGAACGTCATAATTGTGCACCTTTTGTGAATGAAAGCTCTTGCGAGTGGTTGCCATCTATCGTTATAATACGCTTTTAGTTATCACTTCCTGGTGTTGAAGGTTAACAATCTATGTAAAAAACAGAGATCAAGCCTGCTCAAAATGCTCATACTGGACAGTGTGTTATCCACAACACTCTTTGTTTTGAGTCTTTCGTTCAGAAACAGTTTTGCTCGCTTTGATATAAGGACGGATTAGATATAATCATATAAATGTTGATGCAAAGTTCCCTCACCTCTTCTAATATTATCTTACTAGTTTAAAGTAACTGCTTTATTTCAATATTTCATGAAGCTAATCTTGCCTAGTTTGCTGATCATGCTAGCTATCTAAGCCTAATGTAAATGTTTATCACCGAGGATCGCACTGCTAGCTTACTAGAGTTACTGTACACTACATTCTGCAAACGAATGAGTCATGAAGCAGTCAGATTTAAGAATTTACTCCTTTTTTATAACGTTTTGCTACTCCTTGATGTAATCTACGATATGAATGGTACTAACGATGCGGATTTCTTGTTATGCATGAGCGCATTATGAATACGTACATTAAGGCTGCACGATTAGCAGCACGAAGTTTGATTTATATGATATCGGTTTACTGTTAAGAAAATTTTTTAAGGCTGAAGATCAAATCGTAATGTGCAATCTATATCAAGAATACAGAATTATCTACTCATCCTGCATCCTTCAGCAATCTTATCTGAAAGTTGTCAGCGAATTATTGGATAAAACTCTATCACTATATATAATATCATGTCTTACATGCTTACCTCTGTAAGTACTCATTGTTAGTTTGTCGCCCATAGTGGTGCAAATAAATCAATATCCATGGTTTATAAATAGCGTACCTATTAGCATGATGCATAAAGCAACTAAAAATTCTGTGGTTTATTTTAACCGCCAAACGTTAATTAACAAACGCAAGGTAATGAATATTTTTTCTTATTCCATTCCTTTATATTTGATTCGCAAATAGGGTTTGAGGCTATTATTAAGTAATTTGAATTAGATTCTTGCTATACCTTCAGGAGTAAGATACTTAATACGGCACAGTAGGTGTCTATTGCCTGCGATACTGGAAAGGTTTGTCCTTCTCGATATTTGACAATATTAAAAGGCTATCTCAGATATACATATACTAATAAGATTAGTAATGGGATAATTTCGTTATCGAGATATACTGTACTGTACTATACTATGCCATTTCTACTGGTAGATGCGTAAAATTGCTTCGTACAAGTTAGTTGTAGTCGAGATTTATATCGAATCGTTGAATGTTCGCAAAATTCATTTATTGACGTTGTTCTCACAGCGGTGGATATTAGCCTGAAAAATGTTTCAGATTAGCTTCACTTTATGTATGTATATGTGAAACCTAAATGCATACAGAGAGCTATGGCGAGCACATGTGTAGGTTGCATAGATAGATCGTAGGTAATTCAATAATTGATCAGAGAAAATATAGTATAGTAGTTTGCAGTAAATTTCTGCGACTGTATGATATACGCGTATAGCACAATAGAAATGTAAAATTTGGCATAGCATATGCATGATTCACGCACCCATAATAATATAAATCTATTCATGAACTACTGAAATATTTCCCTGAATTTTGCAAACTTTAATCTCCACTATCTGCGGATATGATGTGTTTATGACTCCAACCTATGTTCGCCAGATGAACATTGTTGTTTGCATTTGTACAACAATACAGTAGATCATGTTGTATCGAAATATAAATTCATGATGGTCCTCAGTCATTCATACACTATTTCATACTTTGTAGTATTACACACTACACAATTCGGATCAAGTCTAATACTGTTAGTTAATTTCTTTTGAATGTAAATCATTAAAATCGTACAGCAAAATTCTTATAGCAAGAAGAGTTAGCTGAATAAAGACATGGACTACTAAAATTTAGGAGCGTCATTCTGACAGTACCGAGAAATAGTACAGTACAGTACATGGTATGCAATGTGTAGTACTAAATACTGTAGAATACAGTAATATACTGTACTGTACAGTACTATTTCATTGTTTAATCGTTTAAGCCAATGTATTTACTACTGTACTGTACTGTACTGTACAGTATGAGTATCTGAGTAATCGGGTGATTATGTACAGTACTGTACTGTAGGTTCGTACGATACGGTCGTTCATAACGGCTCATAATTTTCAACTAAATTTCGGTGAAATCCATGGAAACCATTCATCCAAATTTGCAATGTGGCAATCACATGATTTTCTCTGCAATATTTTTTATTATGAAGTTATTTATTTGTACGTGATGTGCCTTTTGTCTACAATCTTTTACCTTAACTTTTAATTAAGACACCGAGTAAAAGTTCAAACAAACAAAAGAGTCTAAAATTTCAAAAAATGTCCGTACAATAGAGTTGACAGCACTTCAAATGATTACAATACTGTCGCTAACTGTTATCAATCGACATTACGTCAAGTAAAAAAAAAGGTTACAGGCTTACAGCGCGTATTCCTCGTTAAGTGTACTAAGGCTATTTACAATTGGTGCACTCTACAAGGTAGCTAAGCTGCTCAATCTATAGTACTGCAGCGTATGCTCGGTAGTTTGAAGGATTTTCAAGCTTAAGTTGAAAGCCTTCTTAATAAGCAAATAATAGCCTCAGTTAGCTTTAAATACGCTACAGAGCTTCAAATAAAATTCACTTCTCCCTGAATTGCTTTGAGTTCGTTATCGACTCTACTTTCAAATAAAACACAGACATGTATCGTTTTTTGATTCTTGTCTCTCTCGTTGGTATTGCTATTGCAACTGCACCTAAACCATGCTGTACACCAAAGCAATGGGAAGGTGTTGTTGAAGCAGCCGGCATGAAGGTAGTTGGAAGCGGAAAAACTGCTATGAACTCGACCTTTCGCGTTTTGATACATGCTTCATATGATTACCAAAATAGCAAGATTAGAATTGATGAGGACGTATATCCAACTGGTGGTAAGAAAGTCCGTGTTACAATCATCGGCGACTTTAAGAAAGCAAAGAAGGTCTATACTGTTTACAACGGCAAGTGCACCTCAGTTTCCACCAAATCACCAATGCCCGAGGCCTGTGTTCCTAAGAACGCTAGTTTCTATATGGGAGGTACGGTTGGAGCTACATTAAAGTATAATACCTTCGCTTATTCCAAAAAAGATGGATCTTTGGGAGCGATAATTGATGTATCTGCAACGGGTTGCATTCCAATTGCCGAATTAGCTTTCCAGAAAGCAAAGATACAGAGTAAAGCTAATACCGAATATATTGCAGCTTGGTTCAAGAACATTACTGCAGGAATCAAAGACTCCTCAGTTTTCGACAAGCCGAAAGAATGCAAGTCTAGTAAAGATTTGGAAAATGTCGTTGTTGACTTTGATTACTTGAAGTACTTCCAGTCTCGTCTCTTTACGGTATCTAGAGAAAATAAGATGTACTTACAGGAATCCATTGAAGATCTCTTCCGAAAAGACTCCGTTAGACGCTTGCATGAAACATTCCTATTTTAGGCTGTCATAAACAATACTTGTACTAACAGCAAAGTAGATCAGCTCGGATGATGAATCATATCTACATATACTATACAAGGCTACTCGATTCGGTGTGTAATACCTATATCTCCAAAATAGCTTACCTGTACAACCTAGACGTCCAGAATAATCTAATTGTAATGTAGTGTAGCATTTGTAGGCCGTTGTGATATGAGTAATAAGATGCTATCATCATCATATGTTCAACATTGCTGTATAAATGTCAGCTACGAGATATATCAGCGCTGAAGTATTTTTAACATGTGTGTCTATGAGTCCCTATTATAATTATTAGACTGTAGATAATTTTAAATATAAGAGATATGGGTACTGTTAAAGCAAAATAAAATATGTTTTTAAAAAAAGATATGAATATTTCTTTAAAAATAACATGGAATAGTTAAAGCAAATTATTAGAAGCTTTTACAAACATAATGATTGTAAATTGCGAAGGCGATAGAATGCTGTGAATAATCGATTGGCAATTATAATTTAACCAGAAGTAAATGTAGTACATACTCGTACGTGTTGTTCATAGTTAGTGCGTGGCATGTAAACAAGCGCGCCTAATTCGCTTGTTTCGTAGTAATTGCATGAGAACAGTTTAGAAATACGGATAATATATGATTGTTATCCGTTAAGCGCTTACATCGGTTACTTCAATATTTAAACTAAGTTACTTTGAATTTTTAGTATTGCAACTGCCATAGTGGGGCGGTTTCAGGGTTTAGGTTACCTCTTTATGCTTTCTGTGTTAAGCTACCTATAGATTTAAGACCTATCTGTGATTTTATATGACTATATAGTGTTTAGAAAGATGCTTAAATCGCCGCCATTTCTTTCTGTTAGATGTATTGGAAAGTGCAAAAGACCACAACATGACATATTAGCATGTTTCATATACCAATAAAGATTTTCATGTTAGGAAGATAAATCCGACCGCTTGATAACGAGTCAACAAATTACGAGGATGGCTTTTGATAACAATATGAAACTTGATCTGATATTACCATTACATTTACTCTACATATAGCATTGTCACTGTATATCAATTGCTTATGATGATCGTTCTTAGCTCGTAAAATTCGAAAATAAGTAGTGGTACCTCACCTAAGATTCCTATAAATTAAATTCGGATAACTTGGCTCAAGATCTTAAAGAGACTGCAGTTAAGAAATCTTATACATCGATAAATAGTTTTAATGCCTTACTGACATAGTGACTATTTCTAAACGATTATGGTTATATAAATATCTATTAACTACTGCTGTGCTAATAACGGTACGGAATAATAGTTTAAGTAACTTACGATAATAAATATATAAAAATGAATTCGGTACGATATATAGAAGTTATTAGAATGTCATCATCTCGCAGTTACGATTTATTGTTTAATTAAAGCCGTGATGGAGCTGAAGGTGACACCTATCTACCACATGCTGGTTTGGTAATCATACATTGTATGAGATATCAGTTAATCATGAAAAACGTGACACCAGCCTATTAAACTATAATTGTTTAAAAAAATGAGAATAGCAAGCCCACGTAGTCCATTTGCTACAAGTTACAAACTCAAGTCAGTCTCAAATTTTATTAGCAGATTAAATTGCCATCTCGAATAAATGCGAATCGTGTGAAATAGGCTGTACTTAAACTGTACTCTTTTAAGAATCATAGCATTCAATTTGCGAAAATGAGAATTCTAGTAACATGATTCAGAAGCAAGGTTTTTAATTGTATTCTAAATTCTAAATGACTGTAACACTTTGATGGTAAATAAACAAACACAAGTTTAGGTATCGACGAATCCATTTGAGGTGATACAGTTTCGTTATCGCAATTTATAAATTTTTAGTTAAGAATTGGTAATTCAGTAAGCTTCACAGAACTATATGATACCAGCAAAAATTCTAACTCAACTTTATCAGTTAAAGAGTTAACTTAAAGGGTGTGATTCCACAGGGATACCCCTAATATATGAATCTGTTGAGGATATGCCGAAGTGTGCGGATGAATTTGAGTAGAATTCAGGGAAAGATATCATCTCACAAAGAAACACGCATCCATGTCTAATTATTTAATATTCGAGTTACCATTTATTAAGTAAATAAAGATCGAAATCTATTTACAGAAAAAAGAGTAATTTTACAAGTAACAAAAATAATCTAAAATTGTCGCTGATATAGTTGAATTTATTTAAAAATAATCCATTGAATCCGTAATATAATCCGTACTATAAGTTACAAGTTGTTGAGATTATGATAAAATCAAGCTAGAAAGTTACCTAAAAATTCTTCCATGAGATTTTTACTGGTATATTGAATTTTATTAAAAATGAAGGTTAGTTATAAATTCTATTCTTTTCATACAATTTTGATTTATGAAAGCTAAAAATTTGAAAATCGTCTAATTTGAAATGTAGCAAACGAGTCGTCACTTTTATGTTATTTATCATAATGCCCGCAATCGGTTTAAGAAAGTCGTTGTGCAGTAATTTCTAAAAGCAGTGATCACCAGTTTCCATATTGGATTGCCCTGGTCCGCCAAAACTGAAGTATTTTAATTTGATCTCATTGAAAATCACATTTCCTATAGATGATCCCGCAACCACTGACATGAATAACCAAACGTTGTATGACATAGTAACCAACATCATAAAATATGCAAGTGTTATCTGCATTATTTGTAGTATCAGGTGTATGAATATAGTCGTAAAAGGTAAATTCATGCAATAGCTAAAAAGGGGCGATAAAAAATTAAATTCTCAGTTTGTTACTAAACATTTTTACAGCTATTGATTACTGAAATATTGTCAATTGTGTAAAAAAGACATGGTATGAAATTAACGCATAATTTACGCTTATTATCTGAGACTCGAAGGCATGATAATAATTTTTATGCAGGTGTACACCAGCAATAGAATAAGTATTCAATTAACTGGATATTAATGTATGTATACACTGAATATTGCAGTATGCTTAGAAGAATGAATTAGTATTCGATGTTTTGCGATTAAGCTACTTTTCGATCTTACCGTTTACGTCTTCTAATAGTATTATCCATCACTAGAGGGGAATAACTATCAACTCTATGCAACTTCTGCAGGCGTTGGCGTTTAAGTACGTAATATTCTTTTAACAGCTTTATACCCTCGTACATAAATGATAACGCAAACCAAGCTAAGGCCGTGCCAATTAAACCTTATTGGATAAATAAATCAAGGATATAACAGGTCTTTAAGCAACTTGAAGTATTTGATTGAATTTCCCAAACCAGATTAGGTTATGTTATTCATTTATAACTTATTATGTAATATAATTGTTCTTTACACTAAAATGGCTAGTTGAATTTAAGCATTGAACAAGTAGTTGATGTGGTACTTATTCAACAAGTATTTAAAACATTCAAAATTTAAGAGATGACATTTGTAAATAGTTATGTGATTTCGATATGTTATCAACACGATGCGGAGATGATTCAGGATCGAAATAGGCTTTATTATTTTAACCATGTACAACAACGGGAGGGATTGAGATAGAGATCACGAGATAGTGAAGCATGGGCTGTTTTCTACAGCTAGAGACTGTACATTACTGTACTGTACATACTGTTTAATAGTCACTATCGAACTTAGAGTACCGTAAAATTGACATTAACTAAACCTATCTTTATCAGTAGGAGTATAAGTGCAACAGATACCTTGTCATCAAAATTAGTACAAGAAAATACCTTAACGCATGTCAGCGCATCTATGTTGATACAATATATTACAATTAGCTTATAAATTCAAGTAATTTAATATACTGTAAAGGGTTCAAAGGGAAAACATAGTTATATAATAAGTGCTACCATATATCAGTACGTGTAAATTTACCTCCAGCGGTTTTAACATTCCAAGACTGGAATAACACGATCACTTTGTTACCGAAATGGAAAAACATGTGCATCATCATGGTGAAATTGATAATACAGTCAACATAATCAGCTTGATGTAGTTTTCTGCTAGAGACATGAAAGAAATAAGAGATTAGTACGTTGTAAAATTACAAGTGGAATCAATCCATCGAACGCGCAATATTCTCCTCTAGAAGTTGTTTGTTCGTTTACCGTTATGATTACTAATACGTTGGTGTATCAGTCAATCTTGACAGCATCGATCATGGAGATAAGAATAAAGATTAAAGTGAAAACGCTATCATTCACATCATCTAATAATCTGTATAACTTGAGTTCGATGTAAAATGCTTCGTCATGCAAAAATGTATAGAAATTCTTCTAAGCATTCTACGTCGAAATAGTATAATAACCAAGTCATACAAAATGCATCAATATCAATGGAAGACTTATGTAGAAGAGAACTGTACAGTATAGTAATCTATGTAAAACAACTTGGCATGATTAACGTCTTTAAGATCAGAAATCAATTGGTTCATTTTATCTTATCTATTTACATAATTTAGATTAGCGATTGCTGTGACCGTTCGAAATTTTCCCTCAGGCTCAGCTCACGAGTGATAGGAATGGGATGGGACGGCACAACGGCTTCGGCACCTTTATACTGTAATGGATAGCAATGAGCAAGAGAAGTACTGTACTGTACTGTACGGTACGGATACAGTACAGTATACAGTACAAAGTACTAGTGTACAATGTACTGTAAAATACAGTCACTAGAGGTCTGCATGGTCTGGTCTGGTCTTGTCTAGTTGAATACTGTGAGAGTGTGAGTCAGTGCGTTTAATCTACAGCATTGGGATTTTCAAAGCCCTTTTAAGTCAAAATATGAATTGTTGGTTGTGATTGAGTTGTGTCTTGAAGAAACTAAATTTCAGATCGGGCTACGCCAAGAACAGTAAATTCCGTCAGAGACTTCTAATAAGGGGAATTTCTTCTTTAAAAAATTCTGATTTCGTCGCTGCAAATCTTTACTTACTATGATACAGAGCTGACATTGACCAGGCAGACCAGATAGAGTGCATCGTTAATACAGTCAGTGCAGTATATTGATTTACTGTATTTATTGAATCCACACAATACAGTACAGTGAAAATTCACATAACTTCATTCATAATTTGAGTTTGCGAGTGCTAGAGATCTGCATTAAAGTCGAAAAGTTTGTTTTAATTTGTGAATACCGTACAATATACAATACACAGTCCTAAATTGCCGAGGGGGTAATTCGAGTCAGACTGGAATAATGCATTATGTAAGTACGTATTCACAAATGTTTCCAATGCGTTGATGGTTCGTGAAACGTCAGCAAGTCATGCAAGCTATAACTTTCACTATTACTAATCACTTGTACAGGATATTATATTAATCAACAATAGTATTACTTGCAGAGATTATCCCACAGGGTGCAAAAATGAATTGTATTAATGTCTACTGCATAGCATTCGCTTCCAGTGAATCAATCAAGACATTTATTTGATCGAAAAGGTAGCCGTGAATGTTTTTAGCATGTCTATTGAATAGATTCAACACAATTGCCTGATCTAAATAAAGGTAATAAGTAAGCAGAGATTGATGTAGCAGTTCAAAGACCAAGAGTGAAATTAAACCACTAATTCTCATCTCGTATATTGAAATGGTGAATAGTTCGTGGTCGTTAATCATGTATCTGTGTTTCATTGATGGCAATACCAATCCTTTAATAGATTGTTAAGATGACATTTACAATCCACAAAGTCCATCTCCGAAATACCCTGCTCACATTTATACGTACACTATCAGTAAAGGCGTAGGATAGGCTAGTGTTTACTTTATGGTCAATACACTATTTATAATGATCAATGGATACGTAGAAAGATCTTGCACGTACACGTTGACAGCTCATACTGTAAGCAGTTAGTTAAACTTTATTATATCACACACCAATAATAAAATCATTCAAAGATCATAACTTCCTGTACACGTACAAACTTTATTTATATTGTAGTATCACACGTATTATTTTACTTAACAATAATCCTTGGTAAAATGCTCTACTATTAAGTTATATAAGGCAAATTTATTGCAATGAAGTAAATTTCATCTCAAGTCAATTATATTCTAGAAGATAAAGTTGAGCATTAAAATACGTGTATAAATTAATTAATCAGAACGGACAATGAACGTTATTATCAGAAGTAAAAATTGTAATATAGCATACAACATCAATTATCAATTATCGATAAAAGCAGTAGACGAAGCATCATCAATCCTAAATATAGATTATATCTACTGTACATTCAGTACAATTACTGTCAGTGCGATTTGGAAGCCATTTGCACTCATTCTATAAATGAAAAAATTGGACATGGTCCAATATTGATCAATATTGAGAAACAAAATGCCAAACAGGATCATGCAGTAAACCACATCCTACTGATAGTACAGTACAAATACATTGGTAGTGTATGAGTAAAGAATAGAATTTGGTGCACTAATACACGGGCTGAATTTTTAATGTTTTCTGATATACGCTAACAAACCGTAGTATACTGCATCAGTAGAGTAATGAACCCCCTTAAAAACAGAGTATTTACGAATTAACAACGACTTACATCAATGACCAATATTAACGTAGACAGGATTCGAGTAGAATAAAACAAAAATTACAAATAGACCGGATTCTAACGTTTTGTAACTAAAAGCATGAATCGTATATAGATGGGTTGGTTACAGGAGTTTTATCATGAATATTCTTTCAATTAGATAACTTTTTTACGATAATAACTGACGGAAAGATTTTAGAGAATTAATTAAAGATTGATTGCATAACCCTAGGGTTTATGTCCTTCAACTTTATAAAAGATTACATTATTATCACATGGATCAGTAGCTTGCCAATAGTTGTCAGCCAGAGGAGTTAATTTAACTGGGAAAGAAAGCTTTGATATTAACATTTCAGGATCTTCGAGTTCAAAACAAAGGCGGCAAACTTCCATTTTGACAGTTTTCTCGTCAGGAACATGTATAATCATTATCTCAAAATCCTTGGCTAGCAGGAACTTACAATACTCAGTGACATCGACATCAACATTGAGATTGTCGTAAGCAGTTTGCCCAGTAACAGTCGAATAGAACTCTTTCATTTCCTTATACTTCTCACCAATATACAACTTCAGAACTGCACCTGCAGCTACGGCTCCTTGCCGAACGGAAAATGGGATAATTCCGTATTCTTTATAAGCGTAAAATATTTCAGATCTACCTGGGACATTAACGACCTTTGACATTGTATCTGTTAGCTGGATTGGAGCCCAGTCTTTACTTGTTTCTAGATACGATTGCAATTTGCCACCCAGATCTTGCACAACAGGAACGAATCGTAACGATAATATCATGGAAGGAGCAATTTTGCCTTGAGTTAAATCTTTCTGTTTATAATACCGAATATCTTGCGATGTTTCGGGTTCTCGAACTGAAACATATCCCATTGCGCCAGAATAATGTTGTAAAATTTTATCGAGATGGTCATGTATCTTATCTCCTTCGTCTGGTTTACTGACAATTTCAACATAAGCTTTAGTTAACAATATATCTTGCTCGACAGCTGAAAAAGGTTAATAAATAGTGTAAGTGCAATATATACGCGTCATATTTTTTTTAAATCATAAGAACTTGATTCGTAATACTGTACATTATAGAATCCAGTATGCACTTATCGCTAATACTGTAGTTACACAATACAGTAGTGTAAGTTGGCAACCATGAATTTTTGATCAAAAATTCCTTTAGATGTGTTTACAGTACAGCGATTTTATATATTATTATAGTTTGATAAGATCATAATAAACTCATTCAAAATAGATAGATAGAGTCATATGTTAAAATGATGCACAGATACCCCACAATTAAATTAATGATTAATGAATCAAAGGTGAGATTTCGCCATGTGTTTTTAAAGTTGGATAGATAACTGTATGTGTGCTAAAAAGAAATGAGTATGATGTCCAAGGGTGAAGATTTTCGAGTAAATTCTATGATGAAATGAGGTCAAAACAGAAATAAACATTGAAACTCCTTTTCTACTCGACGCCATTTTACTGGCACGGTATTATTGTTTTCTGATATATCTACTTAGAATAGCATTGTCAATCAATTATTCAACTATGAACAGTAAACACTAAGAAGATTGCCTATTATTGAAATTTACAATAGTTAAATGAGTCCTTTTTAAAATGACTCACGTTCAATTCGTAGGACTTTATGACCTTTCAAGTCGGAAAGTTTATTGGCCATGAACGCTTCCCCTAAGGCATTGAAATCCTCATTTCTAAATAGGTACACGATAGCCTGTAGTTTACGGAATTGATGGATCTCTGCGAATTTGCTCTTTTTGCTATTGACGATGCCGCAACTTTCGTAAAGCTTCTTGGCAACAACATCGATATTATCCTGATCTAGGCCAGGGCCTTCAAAAGTCAGTAACAGTTGTGTTACGTTATTCTTGAACGTGGTCAGCTCCGTGCTTCCCCATTTCCTATGTAGCTAAAGCGATAAACATTTTGAATGATTACACATTATGCAATACTTTAATAAACAATTACCACAAGCAGGCTTGAGCTACAATTTGATGCACGGATAGAATCAAAATATTTTGTATATAGGCTACTTTTGAATGGGATGACGGGTTTAGCGAAAAGAGAACGAGACAAGGTGCATCATTCTGTAATTATTGAAGTAGCAGTAACTACAGTAATGTGAGACTTGATGAATAGCAAAGAAAATGGTAGTCGCAGATAGTCATTTCATTAGCGTACAGTAATTAACTTAATAAAGAAAAAACGTAGCAAAAAGAGCGGTCATTGATTGACGATAGTAACTTCAGCACTTTGAATTAATGGATTGACTACTTTCAATTCACTGTGATAACCATAAGATAGAGTGATCAATCCTGATGAAACTGTTGCCCATCAACGCTGCGTCGATCGACAGAATGGTGCTGTCTACGTCAACAAGTAAAACTAATCAGGCTTCAATAAGAGTCGAGATTAGAATAACAACAGCTACAGTACCGTCCTTGAAAGAAAAATGCGGTCTGATTGACGCTTAGGTCACTAAAGTGCTTGATCAACAGTTTGAATGTATTTTGCTCCTAGTGCAGTAAGGTCGTTGAAATGCAATCCATCCTTGTTGAATCTTGCATGCTGCAGCCAGTTCCCCCCAAAATCACGAATTGATTTACCTTTCTAACGTATCTTGGTTTCAAAGAAGATGCCACTCCACCATCATAATAATAGACCTTCTCCAAGACAGCTTCAATCGTTTTGGGTAGAACTTCCGCGATGCCATCCACAACATCCATGTCGTCAGCCATTTTGGTCTTGTATTTTATCAATTTTTCCGTCAAATAGTCCACTTGCAAATAAGGCACAACGATCTAGACACCGCTTACTGTATGCTTGAGGGCTTGAAGGCGGAACCACCAAAAGCCTATCGCTGCAGATTGATCAGCTTTGGTGCTTCCTATAGTCTATACTTGTATATACAGTACAGTACAGTATATATAGACGCGCCTATACAATGCAGTAGCTACTATTTATAGTACAGGCCGTTCAAGGCACTGGCAGAAAGTTCTGGTAGTCTATGGTCTGGAACAGCTGTTTCTATTCGACAATACTGTATAATAGAGAGTTGCGGCGGATGTGGCTAATAGGGGATTTCCGTGCGACGTGATGAGCTTGCGATCCGATCAACTTCTAGAAGTCTATGGGAGCTGGGAGGTAGCAAAATAGCTTGCGATCCGATCAACTTCTAGAAGTCTGAGGGAGCTGGGAGGTAGCAAAATAGCTTGCGATGAAGTATCCAATGAATGGTCTGATGAAGACCATGGACTAATTACTAGCCTGTGATAGCTTGGGGCGATGAGCGTGGGGTAAAATCTCCTCAATCCTCATACTGTACTCATTTTCTTTTCAGACTCAGAAAAAGGCAAAAAAATAGCGCTGAAACTAAGGTAAAATTACTATACTTTATAGCGTTAAGCAAGAACAGTCCATCCCAAAGTTGGAAACAAAAACAAAAAATAGTACTGAATCTACAAGGTAAAATTACTATACTTTACATCATTATGCAAGAACAGTCGAAGCCCATAGTAATAGTTACTATGTACGGCACTTGCTATCCCAAAGTTGGAAAAAGGGGAAAAAATAGTACTGAAACTAAGGTAAAATTACTCAACTTTATGGGATTATGCAACAACAGTCGAAGCCCATACTAATATTTGCTATGTGCTAGACTGCTAGCTATGTACTTGCTATCCCAAAGTTGGAAACAAAAAATAGTACTGAAATTAAGGTAAAATTGCTATACTTTATAGCATTCTTCAAAAACAGTCAAAGCCTGTAGTAATATTTACTATGATCTGTACTTTGCTATCGCAAAGTTGGAAACAAAAACAAAAAATAGTACTGAAACTAAGGTAAAATTGCAATACTTTATAGGATTCTTCAAGAACAGTCGAAGCCTATAGTAATATTGCTATACTTTATAGCATTCTTCAAAAACAGTCACAGCCTATACTTTGCTATCGCAAAGTTGGAAACAAAAACAAAAAATAGTACTAAAACTAAGGTAAAATTACGATACTTTATAGCATTCTTCAAGAACAGTCGAAGCCTATAGTAATATTGCTATACTTATAGCATTCTTCAAAAACAGTCAAAGCCTATAGTAATATTTACTATGATCTGTACTTTGCTATCCCAAAGTTGGAAACAAAAACAAAAAATAGTACTGAAACTAAGGTAAAATTGCTATATTTTATAGGATTCTTCAAGAACAGTCGAAGCCTATAGTAATATTTGCTATGTTTCCAACTTTGCTATCCCAAAGTTGGAAACAAAAATAAACACATTCTACAGTACAGTACATACTTTACAGTACTGTGCACTGTGCAAGGTACTGTATGTACTGTAGAACAAGAGTGTACTGTACTGTACTGTACTGTACAATAGTACGTCCATGTGCTGATACTATAGTCTAATTCTGGGCTGCTATCATTTCTACAAAGATCGTTTGTACAACTGACACATGGATGGATGGACGATATCCAGGGCAGAACTAACGGTGACATCCAAACTTTATACGGTTGCGCATTTGGTAAACACCAACACGACTGACATACTCAGGCGTTGAGGAGAGAAAGTTCTTCTTGTTTATCAAGTTAGTAGCACCGGGTTGAGTCGATGTTCAGCATGGATTCTGAAACGAAATCGCAATTAGCAAAATTAGAGAACAATCGTACAGGTATGGTTTAGCTAAAAGATAGATCAAGATCGATTCTAATTATGATTATTATACTGTGACACTATAGACGTATACTCTACACTCTACAATCGACATCATCGTCGTCACCAAAAGTCTTGATGCATGTTCTATTACTGTAGAGGAAGTACACCAACTGTGAACATACACATCGTTCGATACAGTACGTTCAAGAAGTAGAGATATGCAATACAGTGTATATGCCTGAGAGAATGCATCTTAATATCCAGTGGATAGATTTATATCATCATCCTATTTTTCTCAACTTGTGCTTCAACATTAAGTCGTAGTCAATTGAATTTATATGCAACAGCTCAAGATGTGAAAATCAACTAAAGTTAAAGTCAATGATTGCTAATACTAAAATTGATGTGATGATGATGAGATACCATTACACTTCTATTCAATGTTAACAAATTATATATTCCAGATCTCCAGCAACCTCAGCCATTAGCGATAGACATGACAGTAATAGAGTATGGAAGTAGCGGTGAAACTGAAATTATCCCAAGAGTTCATGGAGCTTTCGGCCAAACAAACAACTTTCCTACAAGGGTTCAATTGGTAACATACAATTGCAATGACTATATAATACCGGGTAGATTCTTCCGGTAGCTTAACGCCCGTAATTACCATTGATTCAATATGCAACGGAAAATTGAGATTGGATGCATAACAATACAAGTGCGAGAGCACATCCAAAAATTGCCATGATTTTACCCTGAGTTTTGAGCTAGAATGCTATAGAAACAATGTCATACGCTAGAATCCTTATCAAATTTGATGAAAGTTTGCTGTCTGTCCCATTTATTCTTATTTTATACTATATACATTATTACTTACTATCTATTTATCTACCTATATACTCGTATACGCGTATGTAAGGTCTTAAGGGAAAATTAATTTATTATCACAGTTACCGTGCGGTTTACCTCCATCTGAAGACTCTAATCTCAGAAATGAATTAGAAAAACTTCTACTATCACCGCAAGACTTACCTATCTTTGAGTTGGATAAACTGCAGCAGTAAGTATACTACTGTATGAATGGCCCTAACTATCGTGCAGTGAGAACTTTTTGTAACATACGCTTACATATTTCATCATTTAAATTGTAATGTATTAAATAATACAGTTTTACAGCACTAATATGGAATGAACCTACTAATTTTTAAAACTATGGACGTTAAGATGTTACTCTAATAACAAAACTGTGCGTTTCTTTTGCTTAGGTTTTGGCCTCGCAAATCAGATCCTTCATCTCTTTACCATGTTAATTTGAAACCAAATCAAATGACAATAAAAGTTACGCGTGATATGACAACCGGCAGGCTCCAGGAATATGAAGAGGTAACCTGCTTACAATGATGCTGTTAATCACAATTCATTGTATATGCACAGTTCTGCAAATTTGAAATTTTCAGCGTTAAATAAGTTACTTAATGATATACTGTACAATGCAATCGAACCTTTAATTGATTGATTAACGTTGCACACCAAAGGTATCAATAGAAAATGGTGATTTAACTAGTCGAAATTCAACATCATTGAAACGATCGCCTATTCCAGAAAGAGATCGAGGTCCCGTAACTGGACAGTCTACTAATATGCCATTTTGGCCAGGTGAGTTAAACAGTAGGCTGAAATCTGAAGTTGGTGCATTTTTCAGGAAAGTTTACAAATTTACTATTAATAATATCGTATTTATGACCTATAAAGGTGGATTTGATCCAATAACGTCGTTACCTCATGGTGTGCAAGAGCTAGATGAATTAAACTTCGATACTTGTGGTAAGTATAACACTAGGCAGTTGCAAGTTATGAGGTATTATACAACAAAATACTGATGCTATTATACAAGGCTATAATCGAATCTATGATGGTTACTATCATTAATATTAGATCTACTTTCCAATCCTCCCAATTTTGGTCCGGGAATGAAGTTTGATCAGATGAACTCTTCTGGTAAAAGGATATAATATAAAGATTTAAAAAATACGCATATATAACTTACTTATAATACATCGTATGATAATGTTGCGCTGATTACTACTAAATTTATTCTACTATCACACCACTACAACTAAATCACATTTTACAGAGAATCAAGTAGAATTATCCGAATCATCGGAAATAAATATATCAGATATTCTTGCTGCGGATGTTCCATGGATTAAGGACGAAAAATTAAAAGAAAACACAAATGATAACTTAGACAATGAAAATGTATGTGAACATTTAACTCTAATTTTAATGCTTATCAGGTAGCAGATTATGCTAGGCGTTAGTTAATTGCATCTTAGCAAATAGTATTGTTGCAATATACTAATTTACGTACGTACAAATAGCGTTCAAAGCAGACAGCAACAGATGCAGTTTCGAAAAAGAAATCTGCCGGTACGTACAGTATATAGCTACTCAGGTATTCAAAGTGATAAAGCACAAGTAAATATGAAAATCCATTTGTTTGACAATTATTGTATTCAAAATATAATGGCACTTTTTATAACGTTTGCTGAGATACGATGATGCAACTGCAATTCTTCTAAATCCAGTTTGATTCTATCGACTATTAATAGGAGAAGAAGAAATCGACTCACTGGTTAGAACTTCAAACAAGCGAAAACAAAATTATGAGCTATGATATTACTTGTGCTTTAAAAGATTTTATGTATCACTGTAAATATATTTGCAACGGTACAGAACTATCAATTTTTTTCATGGTCATTCCAATTATAGGTGGTTAATTTAAAAGTAGTTAAAGATAAACCTAAAGCTACCAGTGAACGATGGTTTTTCCGCGTCAACATAAATCAGGATGTCGATAAATTTCATTCTATAGTACCAAATATGGCATTTACGGTAGTTACTTGAATTCTGTAATTAAGAAAATTGTATTAGAATGTAAATAGAAATCTAATTCGAGCTTCATTTATTTAGTGGCCGTTTGAATTAGATGCATTCCAGAAGCAGGCTATTATGAAACTAGAAAAGCATGAAAATGTGTTTGTTGCAGCGCACACTTCAGCTGGGAAGACTGTAGTTGCCGAATATGCAATTGCTTTAGCATCGAAGCATGTTACGAAGTACTATTTAACATCGCACAATACGCCTTTGACACTGTTCTGAATGTAAAATCCTTTTATCTTAATGGGCTTAAAAAATTTCTTGAACACTTTTAGGGCCATATATACTTCTCCTATAAAGGCTCTGTCAAATCAGAAGTTTCGCGATTTCAAAATGACGTTTGGTGATGTAGGACTATTGACGGGTGATGTACAAATAAATCCCGAAGCATCTTGTTTAATCATGACAACAGAAATTCTTCGGTTTGTTTCAAAGAATTTGCTTTATTGAAATTACTTTATAATGATTGACATAAAAATCTAATGCTGGCTGTTTATTGTTGTGCAATTACATTGAAGTTCCATGCTATACAATGGTTCAGACACTATTCGCGATATAGAATGGGTTATCTTCGACGAAGTGCATTATATTAACGACGATGAGGTATGCCAACCCCATTACAGTGAATGGTTAGAAAATTAATTTGTTTGTCATGGATAAATGAGATTCTACTTTTCAATTAATAATTTAACTAGAGGGGAGTCGTTTGGGAAGAAGTAGTCATATTGTTGCCTGATCATGTTGGTCTGATATTATTATCTGCAACGGTCTCAAATTCGGATGAGTTAGCAGACTGGGTTGGGTATGTCTATTAAGAATGCTTTAGGTCTTGAATTTTCTATTATTAACTTATTCCTTGTAAATGGTTTAGGAGAACTAAAAGAAAACAAATACATGTTATCAGTACAACTAAACGCCCTGTTCCCCTTGAACATTTTCTATATCGTTCACCAAATCAAAAGACAGATAAAGATTTGATCAAAATCTTTGACAGTAAAGAAATAGTTTTAAATGATAAGTGAGTATGCGGTGGTTAAGTATTATATATTTTCAGTTGAATATTGCTTAAGTATATTATAAACTTATGGGTGTAATCTTCCGTTATCAATCCAATAGCCTGAGAGAAGCTTTTAAACGGCCAACATCTACTAAACCTACACCAAAAGGAGGTAAACCTACGACCAAAGTTAAAGATAAAACGGTAATTAAAAGAAAAAAATAGCATTAAGTAATTGAGTGATTGAATCATCTTGGTAGACGTCCGTTTTAAATTAATTGTGTAAGATATTTTTATTCATGATATCAATAAAATTCCCAGGTTCATGCATATAATGTGCAACGATTTATCTATAAATTCTTTAGGAAGCGCAAATATACCAGTCATTAATTAAAAATTTAATAAAAAAAGATCCTCCTATGGTTCCAGCCGTTGTTTTTGTGTTCTCGAGGAAGAAATGTGACAATTTGGCCGGTAGCTTATCAACTGCTAATCTTACTACTAAAGATGAAAAATCAAAAATAAAACGTTTCATCAAGAAGTCAATTTCAATACTAAGCGATAAAGACCAGAAACTTCCTCAGGTTTGAATCATCTACTTTTCTGTCCATGTGCATTCATATGATAATTTTATCGAGCAGTTTTCGTTCATGATTTCGTATATCTATCCACAAACTTTTAATAATTTGTAAAGGTTGACGCGGATTCTGTTATTAAATTTTTTCCGTTAGGTAGTTTGGCTCTGTGAGATGCTCCAGCTAGGAGTAGCTGTACACCATAGTGGAATTCTCCCTGTGTTAAAGGAGGTTGATAGCGTTTTTCTTTTGATAATGTAAACTTTAACAGAGCGGTTATTGCAATGACTTGACAACATTTTTCTTAAAAGATAGTAGAAATGGTATATCAGGAAGGCCTCGTAAAGGTTATTGTTTGACTAAAATAATTATATATATACCTACTTAAAAATCTATAGTTCTCAAATTCAATACTGCAATGATTAAGTTACTGAATGTTTTTTACTATCATATCCTAGTGCCTATTTGCGACGGAAACTTTTGCTATGGGGGTCAATATGCCCGCTAAGTGCGTTATATTTGACACAATATCTAAGCATGACGGCAATAGTCGTCGACGCCTGCATCCTGGTGAATATATTCAAATGGCAGGAAGAGCAGGCCGAAGAGGCAAAGATAAAACCGGAACAGTTATCATGTTATTAAAGGAAGAAATAAATGAGATTGACCTTCGGCAAATGATAACTGTTAGTGTTACATCCATAAGGAATAAACTGTATTGCTGATAAATTGTGTATCTATATCAACACTTAATAGTGACAATGAGCGTGCATTAATTAATAATCTCATTTAAAACAACGTAGGGAAAACCGCAAAAATTGCAGTCTAAATTTAGATTAACTTATGGTATGGCACTAAAAGTATTACGAGTAGAGAATCTAGAAGTAGAGGATTTAATGTGGCGTAGTTTTGCGGAATTGCACAAACAAGTCAGAAAATCGACACTAGAAAAACAGTTGTTGCCGTTACAAACTAAATCAAGATCGGAAAACTTTAGCTGTCCTAATTGTATTAGCAGTATCGATTTATATTGCGAAGTGTTACATGACTATTATCATGCTAATGAATGCTTACAAGTGAGTTTATAACCATATTTTTAATTGTTGATACTGTATTAAAATGTAGATTTCGGTCAGTAAATTAAATCTTATTTTAGAATCAATGTTAAGATTTTTTTTCTTGGACAATTAATTATTTTCAAGAAAATCTTATTAACTGAAGCACAATCGAAGATTAAAGGAAGATTCGTTGTAATAAATAATGATAATCACCACAACGCGTTGGGCATTGTTTTAGATACTAAAGTGGACTCGAAACGAAGATCTTTTTACAAGACATTCATTCTAATCAATGAATCTGAAGAAAAATCAACTCTACTGAAACCGAAAGGTTGCTAAGTTGTCATACTACACGACAGATATTGTATAAACATTTTCAAGTTTTAAGTTACTTTCACAAGATTATTTTGGTAACTAATTACCGAAGTAAATCTGCATTGCTTACTTCAGAAGGGTCCATTGCCGTTGACTCTAGGCCTGTTGCTGGTACAACAATAATGTTAAGGGTGTTTTGAAACTCTATGTTTTATTGTATAGGGAGTAGACCTTACTCTAACCAATTATTCATACCATACGGCACGTGTCAATATAAAGTTGAAGATATTGGCGAATCTGATATCGCTGCGATATCTAAAAATTCCTCTAAAGTTAAAGTTGATAAAATTATGGTTGAACTTACTGGGTCGAACTTCAAGAAGTATATCTAATTTTACAGCTTTGACAATTTTATTAAATATTTTCATATGTACGATTAGTATCATTTTTAGATAAGATAGGATAATACGCTATAAAATTACATGCATTTGTCTGGTTACGTTATAATTTTTTCTAATTGTCACAGAAGCATTGACAGCGAAGAGCACATTAGTGCAGCAATGCTGGAATTAAAAAGAGTATCCGAAAATAATTCAGACGGATTGCAAACTGTACTCTCGTTTAGTGATATCAAAAGATTTGATGCTGAATTTAGAGATATTAAAGCAGTCTATGACGATGCTATAGCTAGAATGAAGTCTTCGAAATGTGTGAAATGCCCTCATTTTGCCGAACATGTAAATTCTCAATTAACTTTTTGCGTGCACTTATTGCGTATGGTATAAATGATTTCACTATTACTAATAATGCTTTTGTGATATAGCTTGTCCAGGCTCGAGACCGATTTGTAAGTCGTCAAAGACTCGAAAGGGTAAAATTCGAGTTATCAAAAGAAAATTTAGTATTGCAAGCCGATTATAAAAATCGTAGAGAGGTAAAGATGATAACCGACATTTGCCTAATACAACTTTAATTGGATTGTTCATAGTTGATAAATAACGATAAAGTTATCCAAGTTACAGTTTACAATATTGGCCTTAAGTGAATATCGTACTGCTATTGTTAATTACTTCAAAATAGCGAAACTGATTGCAATTTTGAAACCAACCTTAACCGAGGTATTTCTTTAATTGGCTTTTTGCTAAAGCTGTTACAATGCTTAGGGTACATTGATGAAAGGGGTGTTGTGCAATTAAAAGGACGAGTGGCTTGTGAAATTAATAATTGTGAATTGCTTATTACGGAGTTAGTTTTCGATAATATCTTAAATCCTATGGCACCAGAAGAGATTGCAGCTTTGCTGTCATGTATTGTATTTCAACAGGTATACTATTAAATCGGATGTAGAACTTAAATAACGTATTCTGTATTACCTGATAATGCTAAATTTTGATATTTTATTGTGATATTTTTAACGCAGAAAAATTATAGCCCACCGGAGTTAACGAAAGGATTACTTAATGTACTGAAACTTCAATGCGAATTTTTATTTTTTGACATATATTTTTATTAGTACCTACTTACGTATTACTACCTACTCATATGGCGTTACTTTAGGGAGTGGAAGTCATTAGAGGAAAAGCAAAAGAATTGGATAAACTCGAAGCCGAATATAACATAGATATTTATGAAAAGTATGAAGACATGATTAATTTCGGTCTTGTAGAAGTAGTGCATGACTGGGCTAAAGGAGAGGTAAATATTGACCAGCACACGTCTAGATAGGTTTTATTCACGTATTTCAAATATGGTTGTAATGGTTAGTGAATAATTGATGATCTGGACTGTTCTATTATTTCAGCCATTCGCGAAAATCATGACCTTAACGGATGTATCAGAAGGTAACAATTGCAAAGAATTTGAAAATGTGGATAGAACTACATAAATTTATATAGATGTTGTCTTAAAGTGTGCCGTTTTATTTCTTTACTGCTACTTCAATTGAGAATAATTTACGGCTTCTTAGGTGTCATAGTGCGATGTATACAACGCTTAGACTCAGCATGTATGGAGGTAAAAACAGCTGCAAGAATTATTGGCGATCCTGTTTTATTCGATAAAATGATTGAAGCTTCAAGAATGATTAAACGGGATATTTGTTTTACAGCTAGTTTATACATCAAATAATCTATTAATTATTGGGTTATGTGGCATGTAAAATAGATATCGATAAGAATATGTATATATACGTGTATTGTTGATACATCACTAGTTTTCAGTTACAACTGATTGAACATGTAACGCATTTTTTGAAATTGTACAGTCAAAGAAGTGTATACATATATATCAATTTGGAAAATGTATTACGTAATTTCTATTAAGTCGATAACAATATGCTGATACAGACTTTAGTTAATATTACAAATAACGGATAACGAATTAATCATTTGGTGGAAGAATGTGAAAACATAATCTTGAAGAAATGAAGGTTGGTAATATGGCATACGAACGTAAATGTTCTCATTAAGGCCTTTTAAGATAATTACTTGCAATAATATTGTATCTTTGTGATGTAGATCACTGTTAAACAGTAATGTTCCTGTATGTATATAAATGTACACATTATATATATATCTATATTATGTATCCTTATCATAAAATTGTAATGTTTTGATTAAATTGACTGATTGTATCATTATCAGCAGCAGTTACATATCCATAGAACTAAGGTCAAGTTAGTATGTAATTTTACGTTTACATAACTTTCTATATTTCCCACGTGTACAGAAATACCAGTACATGTAGAAAATGATAACGCCTGCGGTAAGATACATGATGATGCAAAATGATATATCCACTGTATTCATTAAACTAACATCCCAGCCCATTTGGATAACACCACTTCCACTTGGTGCTCGAACGTAATTTACATGTAGCGGTAATTCCGCACCATTTTCGTTGTATTCAATATCGGAGTAAAATTTTTGCAAAAATTTCAAAACATTATCTTTATTCCATTTGATGGTACTGTCGTTGTAAGACTGTGATGGCAATCGGCATGTAGGACATAAATATAAAGGTGGAAACTGAACTTTAGGAAATTCAGGATCGGTACTTTTGTCGTCCTTTAATCTTGAATTGGCTTTATTATGAGCTCTCCATAGCCACAATACAGCATCGTCATTGCTTTTAACTGTTGAACTGATTGTGGCAGCTTCTTTCAAAAAGTGATAACGACATTTCTGACAGCTAAAAAAGTATTGTACAAAATTGCGGACACCATATAGTATTTTCCGGCGATCCATTGCCATCCCGAAATTGCTTTGGCAATTCTGCGTCATTAAGGTATGAAATAAGGTCCATAAGCCGCATGGATAGCCACGCAAGTGCGAATGACTACCCATACATTTAGACCAAACTATTTTCTTTGGTAAACTAGCATTCTTAAAGCGCAAATAATCGTAGCATTACATATATGTGTATGTACAGAAACATTAAACAGTAATACTGATATTTTTTCCTCTACATCGTAGTAAATTGTAATATACAGTACCACAATCATTAAACAGTTTGATCTTACCATACTGTCAATAAAAGTTGTAATTTGTTCAGTAGAAATTTGATTAAGGTATTCTCTTTTATTCATCCATTTGTAAAGCAGCTGAAGAAATTTCATTCGTCGTGGAGAACCAGGATAACACTATAATATCAATATTGGCAAAAATAAAATTTAACTGATGAACGATCTCTATAAAATCTATAAAATAGATATAAATTTTCAGACTGATAAACAGGTATTAAGCTACCTTAGATAGTATCATGACAAAGTTTCTTAACGCTAACGTTTCATTTTTATTCAGTGTCGATTTTAAACACAGCTCTCGTCGAAATGCAAAAGTTATAGCTGAGTCTAAATCAATGATATTGACCCTATAAGTGGAAATCATAGAAAAAACATCATTACTCCCTATCTTTATTAGAGTGGTTGCTATGAATTTTTTTGTGCTATTATCGCTATCTTTTACAACTACGGTATGAGTATGTAGTAGTTTCATAGTTACTTTTTAAATTGTCGATGATGTACAGAAATACCCTACGTAAATTTATGATCTTGTACACACTAATAGCAAGAAAGAGGCTATGCATACATGAATATATGTAATAGCCTACTTAGGTCTCGCTTTGGCAAAGCTATTATATAACTAATCCAGGATCGCTGAACTTTTAGGGTGAAAGTGGAGGTATATTAAAAAAGTGCAATAAGGTCACTCTTTAGATAACATTAAGTATTTCATACTTGGCGGCAACGGATGGCAAATGATGATTGTGTAGGTCTGTTTTCTTCTGATTCGTAGAATTAAGTTTAAATGACGATATAAGACCCATATTTTTAAATGATTTTACGTATAATTTTCGAGATGAGTTCGACCTAGAACGTGTATACACAGAATTAGCTTATCATCATAATGATAATATAATCACTTGAACAGCTTTAGATAAATGCTTTTGATGTATGATGCCTTATAATTACTCTTACTTTACAGCAATCTTGACAATCTTGCTATTACGATGCAAGAAATAGACAGATGGATAGCTAGTGACATGAAATTTCGCGCTTAACAATTTCTGCAAGGAATATAAAATACAATAAGCAATTAAGTAATTATGACGATGAATAAACTTACGTATGTCGATTAGAACCTAGAGTATTATTTTTATAAACGACTACAAATTGAATTACTTTATTTCGATCTACTCGAAAAACGATCATTTCTTTATTGCTTGTTAAGTCTAGAGCCAGCTAGAGGTAAAAAAAAACACGTGCTTTAGTAACAAACTTATTGAGTATATTGTGGCAATTGGTTCTGCAGTGTAAAGTAACGATGTTAACAACCTCACGGCCTAAGTAAGAATGAGAATCTTCAAATATAACAATGGCAGCATGATGGATAGGTAACATATTGGATAAAAGAGCACGAAAATGCTCAAATCTGTTCATCAAAATGAGAAGATACATGAAGATAAATAAAGACTCATACACTATATATAAATACTTGATTATTACTCTATCTTAGAAATATCAACCATCATAAGTTTCATGGCATAAAACTATAGAATAAATCATAAATGGTATTTTATGATTTACACTATGGCAATAAAATGTAAATAAAGTATTCATTTAATTTCTATTACTTGACAAAATGTAACCAGGGCAAATTACGGTTCCAATGCTGTTTAATGATATGGTCCACCATTGCTGTCCTCATGTCTTGAATGTTTTTTTCTCCTAATAGATTCATATCGAGAGTTTAGAAATATACAACACACTTGATTATTGCGATGCTAAAGTACTGTCATGATGAAGTGGGTAATCAACATCGGGTTAAATAAAAACATTCATAGTATAATTTTCTGTCGAAGTGTTTTATGGGTTAATAGTGAGGTGAGAATACAAAAAATATTGAGAAAAGCAATACGGCCTACGGTAGTAAGGATTAGCTGCAATGAGGCTATCGCTAAGGAAATACAGTCATGCTTTTCGATCTTCTACTTAGTATTTACTTGCTGGACATGTAAGTTTATGCTATGTACAACTGCATTCTTTACGGTACGTACATTTTTAGATGGACCAGCATTTTATTTTAAAATATAAAGTCCATACTCCTTCAATATTGATGCGTTAATATACATATAAATGATTATGTATAATAATCAACTTTACTTCGAAAGACTGGGGATATAATGAGAAAGCAATTTTACACGGGATGCAGAGAACTCTTTTTCATTCATAAATAAATATTATTATTGCAAAATAATCAGGAATTATGGGTATGCAAGTAATAAGTACTCAATGTTGGAAAAGGTAAAGTCAGGTCTGCAAATAGTTGACATACAAACTAAAGTACAGTCGACCGCATTCCAACAAAGGATTAGAGATCAAAAGAACAGCATATATTTATGTCGTCACAAATAACCATGACATTCTGTATATGGAAACATCTATAAAGACACGAAAGCTAATCATAAACTACACAAATGAATATTAAATTTAATTCGTTACCGTCATAAACAATTGCGGTTTTGGACAAATCGGAGGACATGAGATTGACCAGCTATAACAGTAAATGATAAGAAATATACGTATTCTAAAAGTTAATGATTTTTTCATATGTACTACAAAAGCAAAGTACTCTACAAATCATATAAGTATCTCAAAGTAGAGGATATATTGGTTTTTGAATTTATAATTAATTAATTTATACGAACAATGATAAGATACAGAAGTCTACCGGATGGAAAAGCAAATTAAAATAACTGAATCCCGTTGAAACTGCGATATTAATTAATTATATCTGACCTTAAACGTTGGAAAAGCATCAACATGATGACGACGACAAACAGGAACATTTCTAACATCGGAACAATCGACAGCTGCTAGAGCAATAACTGATTTCCAACCTTGACAATAAGATATTAAAAGAGATCAAATGTTAGAAAAATTTTGAGGCCGTAATTTGGCAGTTATTTACACAGTCATTGCCGTCCATTGTATGTCGATTACTATAACTCAGTCACTAGCTACTGCAGAAATGAAATTTCCCAATGCTGTATCAATGAAGCATTTGAAATTATATAGGGTATATCGAGTTTAAGGATAAAGAATAGCCTAGGTGATTGATTATAGATGGAGGAATAATTGCATAATATACAATGTATATTCTACCACGCTACTGTACTCTATTGTTTATTAAACCTCATCCTAATACTACTGTACTATTAAAGGGATTGCATTCATCATCAACATGTTACAATTTCAAATTAACCACATTGTATACTGTATGTATGAAAATTTAAAGTCCGGTGATTTGAAAGGTATAATCACGATTATAAGGAATCGAACAGTCCTAGGATATAGTTTTGAAGATTACAACAATAATTTGCAGGTTTACGCGTACCATCGCTAACGTATCGAGAAAGTGCTAAAAATTTACTTCCGATACTATCTCAGACTCAGATTACGAGTATGTAAAATTCTTTGAATTAATTATCGATTCGATGCAAAGCCGATGTAAGGTATCGTCCATTGCTGACTAGAAGATTAGAAAGATTTTACAATCTTGTGTCTGTTATCGTATCTACTAAAATTTAGTGGCAATTACTCAGAAATTTTCAATTGTTGTAACCTTTATGTTACTCGATTACGCATTCGGTATCGGTTGTTTAATATGTTCGTACAGCTGCTGTACTGCAGGCAGAAAGTCAAACTGTGGCTTCCTTGATTACAGTATATACTTATATTAATTATTGGTGTCTGCGTTTCGATGTTGTTCACGATAAGCAGTAGAGTCAATATCATAACTTTCCCACTACTATAAATGTTATTACTTCCATCGTTTGATAAAAGTGAGACTACATCTTTCGTATTCGATTATCAAAATTTAAAAAATTAAGCAATCAACATTAAAAAATAAGGAATTGAATCGATTTTGTACCACCGCCATTACATCTCGTGTCGTTTATAATGACACGTATGAAATTGTTAAGTGTTGTCAAGGATAAGAATAGAAAGGTAGAGTATTTCAAAACATATTCATCAACAGTCCAATATAATACCGCTGGTGTTAGAAATAGAAATTAAAATGTAGTTTGCTCGGTTTGATATCAAAACGTATGCGTATAAGAACAGAGTCGATATGTCGATACCAATGCATTGAATGATAGGAATTAATCCAATACTGTACTAGCAGAGATATTACTACATGGACCGTGACACTACCATTGAATCTGATTAATTTTTCCTACAGTACAGTATATATCATTGCGTTAAGACGAGAATTTCAAGTTCTCTTTTGTTGGATGAATGTTGGATTAAACAGTATATTTACTGAATTCTCATCCTCTCCTATAATTTCACATTGCTAAAAATATGGATAGATAGAAATTTGTGGAAAAGAATTGGCTGGGCTTGATTTCTTACTACCGGTACCCGTTGTACAGTACTGTAGAGTGTCACGTATTGTTTCTATCATCAACAAACATCATTCCTATCCTACCTGCAACATCTTCACCTAAACGAATATAAGTTGGTGCAAAACTTTGGCAATGGCCACACCAAGAAGAATAAAATTGTACCAGCCAGCATCGATTACTTCTGACCAAGTAGCGATCGAGTGTATCATTGTTTAACGACTGAATATTAGTAATGCCTTCATATAATTCAGCTTTACAATTTAGCCCTAACCAAGGCAAAACAAGGATGAGAATGGTGGCGAAAAAATACAAATAACGATAGCTAGCCATTCAGGAATGTATCTAAGGCTTTTCCTTCATTACTGGGTATTTAAACCACAATTAATCAATGACCCCGCCACCAATGGCAATGTTACTGTTGGCAGAGAAAGAAATGAGCAACCAAGACGAGAAAAGACGAAGGTCAATTGACCAAGTTGTAATGGCAGATTTTCTCTCCTTTTGATAACCCTTTCAATTAAGACAGCCAATCTCTACCAATAATCTGTGTCGTTAAGTCTTACCCTCAAAGAAAATATACAGTAAAATAGGCAATAATGTCTTGGAGGAGAATTGACTAAGTCAATCAACAAGGTAAGAGGCAAAAAAAAGTAAACTCAATTCTTATGGATTAGGAAGCCAGATTTTAATTATCCTCTCTGCTGGCTGTGAAGAGAAGAGTGAGTGAGAATTGAAGTACTGGAGCATAGAGATGAAACGAAAGTCTTGATATACAGTACTGTACCGTCACGTTTACTTGTCTGCCTGTACTGTAGATTATACTCTACGGGTGTTTTGGCTACAGTCGTTCATACGGTAGGCAGTTGAAGTGAGACCTAAGTACAGTACTGTACCTATACAGTAACAGTACTGTTACAGTACAGTATAAGTTCAAATTATCCTATAGTAATCCTGGTATTAGATCGTCAGAACGGATGGCAGCCAGGACGACTTGAGTCTGACTGTCTCAGAGTGACACTAGCACTGAGTAGCACAGTGACAGGTTGAGACGAAGAATTGCTTTTGCGCGGACGCAGTACAGGGAGTACAGTACAGCACACCACCAATTTTTGCTAGCAGTACAGTACAGTGTACTCTACAGTACACTCAGCGAAATCCATATGAAGTCCCGTTCACGTGAAGTTTGCAACACTTCACCTTCAAGTGAAGTGAAGTTTGCAACACTTCACCTTCACGTGAAGTGAAGTTTCAAATTCCAACTTCACACGTTCCCTAGTTGAGACTAGTTGAGACAGTCAGACCTCCAATATCGATCTCTCCATTTTTCTCTCTCTCGAAAGCTGTTCAAATCTTCATTTTTTCAAAGTATCTCCCAAATGGGGATCTTGAATGATTGTATTCAGCTCCAGTGTTTCCTAATATTACAGTACTGTACAATCATCATACTCAATAGCGTTGCGTAAGAATTTTTCCATTTCACTGTACATTGAACCAGTACTCCATACAATCCTATTCACTACTACAAGATACTACAATTAGTATCGCTTCGACATCGTACGAGTGACGCTAACCGCGAGACTGTTCTAGATATTAGTACCGTACCGTATCGAAGGAGACAAAAGAAGAAGACTGACGTTTTAATCATGCTGATAACGGACGTATCCGACAATGTTCTATACTTTGTATAGGTATTGACATAGTGAGTCAGTAGTATAACTATAAAATCCTCCCGTTTTCAAGACCATAGTACTACTGGCATGGTACTGTACGGTCTGTACCATCGTATCGACTTCTGGACTGGAGTACTGTGTTGAAAGAGCAAGTGAGTTCACAGTCGTCACCATAGAGATACGTAGTACCTGTCTAACCACCGCTGTAGCCCGATCGCAGTAGCAAATAATCATTAGTTAAATTATGGCAAAACATTGCCTAACGAACAAGGATGAAACTGACCGTTGTAGAATATATAATTATTATAGCAACTACATCAAGAAGAGAGTGATAAAGCCGATTTCTATACAGTATACAAAATCATAGGGATAATGCGGATATCGTCTAAGGAATCAAATACAAACTTGACTGGATATACGAAACCCTCTGGAGGCCTACATAATACCAAATTGGCCCCCTAATTCCTATATTTAATACCTGATATCTCCAAAAATGTATGGACCTTCATCGTAGAATGGATTAGCAAATTTCCCGTATCAAAATAATTACGGTAGCTTCTCCCTGAGGAATAATTATGATAGATAATAAGTTGTCATTGACATACAAGAGGCCTACAAGTTAGTTTTTACAGTAAGTGATGAATTAGAATGGAGTTGATTCGCCCCCTACGATATACAGTACTACTGTATATCACTGCTTTGCCAAAGTTTTATTTGCAGGCTACAGCCTGGCTTCTATGGTACTGGATAAGCATTAAGAGCTCACTTAACAGGCGAAACATAGCTAAACTATCGAGGGAATAATGCCAACGGCTAAGGACCACATTAAATCATATCCAATTGAATCTTGAACGTAGTAGCAGTCAGGCACCCATTCGCGATTTACCAACTATATACTGTACAGGCAAATACATCAATGGATAGAGACCTAATACTGAATACTAATTGAGTGGAAGTACTCCACATGCAATATGCATGAATTAAACACGTTGCTAACGTAAAGAATCAGTAACTGCTTTGAATGCTATTACTGGAATATAAACCCCCAAATACACTAAACGTTCTCCAGATAGGAAGTTTCCTAGAATTATCTTAATTCAATGTCGAACTGTATCAAGCTACATTAAATAAATAAATTAACACAAAGAATAATATAATGATGTAATATATATCTCCTATCTACAAGTACTACATGTGGAGATTCATTTTATTGTTATAGCACAATATTACATTATATTCTATACGATTGTGTCACAATATTGCTGTTGGCAATAAGTGTATACAAGTAGGAGGCATATCATTTACTGTAAACATAAAAGCGCAAAGCACTAATTAATTGATTGTCGTGTTTTACTATATTTTCTACACTTTGATTTGCTAAATGCAATCAGAGAAACAGTTTAATCTCAATTACAATAGTATAACATAGATATGATAACATACATAATAAAATATGAATAGATTACCCAATTTATACATACAATCATCACGTACTCAGCTTAATAACTGAATAAACTGCCGGTAGCAGATCTTTATGCTGCATCATCACGTTGGAGGATATTGATAATCAAAAAATACCACTAGATTTACAAGCACTGTTAATCCTTAACATGTACGGATATAACTATCACTATCGTATATATCCTGTACAGTATACGAGTATACGCGTATTCAAATTTGGATCATTATTGATGTCGACGTAATCATCATCAGCGACTCCAGTAGATCTAGCTACAACGTGCGGCACAGTAATCTTTCTATGCAGATAATTACTGATATCTTAATGCAATAAAATTCACTTTATAATTATACTATATATTACTACTACTCATCATGCTCACTCACACAATCATCCCTTATACAGTAGAATTTGATGAACTGCGTAAATCATCTATATGAATGGTTATATCATCGTTTACAGAACTCATGTAATTATGCATGTGTATACTTATAGAAAAACACTATTGACATAAAAGCGACAGATTAGCATGGTTATAGATTTAATCATCTCCTACAATGTAGAATTTAATAAGCTATATATATCTGTATAATCGTATTACTACTTAAAGTATACGTATACACGCTATATCATATATCAGCAAAAAAGTTTATTATATTTAAGGATGCAGTCATTTATTGCCCCTGCACAGGATGATTGGAAGAGAACCGGCATCACTATGCATGCCTGTATCATGAGGTAAAATAGCAACCATATGTCATTAAAGCATATATATATCCTAACCCGTATATATACAAAGTATTATACATGTTATATCGTCTATCAAAAGAGGATCATTGCTTTTTATGGATGTAATCATATCCATCGCCTAAACGGCATGATTAAACGATTTACGAAACGTATCTTTTCATAATTTCTCAAGACATTTCTTACAAATCATACATCGCAAAGTAGACCAATAGTAGATTAACAATGATTTTAGGATACATCTTTTCTTGTGTAATATAAATTTGATTTTGTACAGTATTCATCCAATTTATTGGCACTATGGCCAATAGCGTAAATTAATATAAGCCCTATATTCTATTCTCATTTGCAACTAATCATTGCATTTATTCAATGTAATTATATCCTTAACATCATAATTTGGTGAATAATTGCATCAAGTTAATATATAAATATATAGTTACATCATTATCTACAATATAACATACTGTTTGTTCAAGTTTATAGATCATCCTATTGACAAATTTTAGCATGTCTGGTGAGAATATAAATACAGTACCCAAACTCCTTGTGACCATTTAATGACCTGGATCGGCAATAAATTTGTCCTATTCATGTATCATCACTTCTACAACAAACTAAATCATCTACGCACTTGATATTATAGATTATATTACTCATATAAGTGAGATTAATTGCAAGATAGGATAATTTGATTGCCTAATCTCGTCGAAAATTTAATGGTATCATTAAAGACATCACGGTCTGAGAAATTTATATGTACGCTAGATAATCCAGATTGGTGGCAGCAGATTATCCAATTTTACGCTTTTGCCAACTCTGTACCGATACAATTACAGTTTAAAAAGTACAGTATATAAGCACCGATATATAAATGATCATGCTAATCGATATCGTCGCTTCTCCTACAGACTAATTTGACAAATAAACCTCGTTAAGCATTCTATAGTGCTGATGTAAATATCCATATTAACATGGATCCACACCCTATATTATATACTAACAATAGATCAGCCTGTCTAATTACCTATGGATAGAAATACCCTTTATACAGTAGAAAAGAATAAGCAAATTAACGTGATAGACCATTCAATGGCATCGATACAAATGTCTGTATGCTGATGGAAACCAATGCTAAATCCTAGTCAAACCTATTATCATCAATAGTACATCTTCTATTTTAGTAGATAGTATCATCGTCTGTTGTCCTACCATTTGATATACTCATAGGATCAACCTAATTAAATTCAAATAGAAATATCGACGACTACTGACCCATCGCTTTTCAATCATTTAGTTAGTGGCGGATAGCAGATTACTAAAACTTATCCACTAATTAATACATCGAATTGCTATCCACGCATAACCTAGTTTAGGTGTGCTATATGATATTAATTTCTATAGTTTTTGGATAACGTTGTTCTACTTGGTAAGACTTTAACCATCATGGCAAA